TTTTTATCCGTTAGTGCGTTGGTACCGATAAATGAGCTTTATATGCCCTATTGGTTACTCACATAATTTATATGGTCCAACAAGGATACCCACCATTATACACATATCATCTTGACCCAAACGGATATAATATGTGGTCCCGATAACATCGGGCGGCCCCCTGTCGGTACCTTCACCATCGGTACCTCTTTACTCCTCAGCTTCTTTACCTGTCGGTCCATGATCTGTACCGGTTGCACCGCATAGTGTAGGTCCTCTCGGATTTCTACCGGTGGTTTCTCAAGAATATGTGACGGGTCCCGTACATACTTCTTGAGCATAGAAACATGAAATACGTTATGAATCTTTTCTAATTCTGGAGTTAACTGAAGCCGGTATGCTACAACCCCAATCCTTTCAATGATTTTGAATGGGCCTATGTACCGTGGGTTAAGCTTACCCCGACTGAGGAACCTGATGATCCCTTTCCAAGGTGACACCCTCAGAAATACCTCATCACCGACCTTGAACTCCAATGTCCTTCGTCGTTTATCTGCATAGCTCTTCTGCCGATCTTGGGCAGCCTTGAGTCTATCCTGAATAACCCTCACCTTCTCCTTGGTGATTTCGACTAGCTCAATGCCCTCAAGCTTAGCCTCGCCTACCTCATCCCAACACAAAGGTGTCCGACATTTCCTCCCATACAATGCCTCGTATGGAGGCATGCCTATACTTGCTTGATAACTGTTGTTATAAGCAAATTCCGCCAAAGCCAACTGGTTGTCCCAACTCCCTTGGAGCTCCAAGGCACACGCCCTCAACATGTCCTCCAAGATCTGAATCACCCGTTCAGATTGCCCATCCGTTTGAGGATGGAAAGCAGTGCTAAACCTCAACTTCGTCCCCATAGATTCCTGGAACTTAGGCCAAAACCGTGACGTGAACCGTCGGTCTCTATCCGACACTATAGTAACAGGAACCCCATGCAGTCTCACGATCTCATCTGTATACAACTTGGTCAGTCGCTCAAGCATATAAGTAGTGTTGATAGGTAGGAAATGGGCACTCTTGGTCAGCCTATCAACCACCACCCATACCGCGTCGTAGTTCCTAACCGTCCGTGGCAGACCTACCACGAAGTCCATAGTAACATGCTCCCACTTCCATTCTGGGATGGTAAGTGGCTGTAATAACCCTGCTGGGTGCTGGTGCTCTGCCTTAACCTGCTGACAGGTAAGGCAACGACTCACATACTCTGCAATCTCTCTCTTCATCCCTGACCACCAGTAACTTTCTTTCCAAGTCCCGGTACATCTTTGTTCCACCTGGGTGCATGGCATACGCAAATGAGTGAGCCTCCTCAAGAATAGAATTTCGGAGCTCCTCATCTGACGGCACACACACTCGCTCCTTGAATAGTAGGAGTCCATCTTCTCTCTCACGGAAACCCTCGACGGGTCCCACCAGCATCCGTTCCCGGATTTTCTGAATTTCCTCGTCATTGCCTTGACGCGTCCTGATTTCGTCTAATAAGGTGGGTCTCACCTCAAATCTTGCCAATAAAGCCCCATCCGTGGACACCTCCACGTGCGCCCTCAATGCTCGTAAGCACGTGAGTAAAGTTCATGTCGAACTCTTCCTACTGAGAGCATCAGCTACTACGTTGGCCTTGCCTGGATGATAATCTATAATCAAGTTGTAATCCTTGATTAACTCCATCCATCTCCTTTGTCTCATGTTCAACTCTTTCTGAGTGAACACATACTTCAAGCTCTTGTGATCGGTATAGATGTGACACAACTCTCCGTAAAGGTAGTGCCTCCAAATCTTCAATGCAAACACCACAGCTCCTAGCTCAAGGTCATGTGTGGGGTAATTCACTTCATGTTTCCTCAGTTGTCGAGAAGCATAAGCAATTACCTTCCCCGATTGCATCAGTACGCACCCAAGCCCCTGGATGCTAGCATCGCTATAGATGTCATACCCCAACCCTTGCACAGGTAGAGCAAGTACTGGTGCTTCAGTCAACCGTTTCTTTAGCTCAAGAAACCCTTTTTCACACTTGTCATCCCACACAAACTTAGCTCCCTTTTTAGTGAGCTTCGTGAGTGGAGATGCTATTACGGAGAACTTCTCCACGAATTTGCAGTAATACCCCGCTAAACCAAGGAAACTCCTTATTTCCTTCACATTCTTGGGCCTCTCCCAATTAGTGACTGCTTCAATCTTTGAGTTATCAACTGAAATGCCCGAACCTGATACCACGTGCCCGAGAAAACCGATCTCCCTAAGCCAAAACTCACACTTAGAGAATTTGGCAAAGAGTTGCTTCTCCCGCAGTGTTCCAAGTACGAGCCTTAGATGTTTCTCGTGTTCCTCTTCATTCTTGGAGTATATCAGAATGTCATCAATGAACACTATGACGAATTGGTCCAAGTATTGATGAAATACTCGGTTCATGAGGTCCATGAATGCCGCGGGGGCATTTGTAAGCCCAAATGACATCACTAGGAACTCATAGTGACCATACCTTGTACGGAATGCACTTTTGGGTATGTCACTCTCCTTGATCTTTAGTTGATGGTAGCCCGACCTCAAGTCAATCTTGGAGAACACGGTTGCCCCCCGTAATTGATCAAACAAGTCGTTAATCCTTGGCAAAGGATATTTGTTCTTTATCGTGACCTTGTTCAATTGGCGGTAGTCGATACACATTCTCATTGTGCCGTCCTTCTTCTTAACAAAGAGTACAGGTGCTCCCCATGGTGAATGACTCGGTCTAATGAATCCGTTATATAGTAGCTCTTCTAACTGAACTTTCAACTCTTGAAGTTCAGCCGGTGCCATCCGATACGGAGGAATTGAGATGGGTTTTGTGCCTGGTTCTACCTCGATCTCAAACTCGACCTCTCGATCTGGTGGGAGTCCCGGGAGTTCTTCAGGGAAAACTTTTGGATACTCACTCACCACCCTCACTTCTGTGAGGCTCTTCCATTTGCCTTCCTTGCCTATGACATAGGCTAAGTAAGCCTGATACCCTTTCTTCATCATACGCCTCGCTCTTAAGGCCGATATGATACAAGGACTGAATTTTCCTCTATCCCCCTCAAAGCATAGAGTATTTCCCTCGCCATCTACCAATTCTAACACCTTAGTGTAGCAATCTACTTTTGCATGGTGTTTTTCAAGCCAATCCATGCCAAGTATAGCATCAAGCTCAAGCATATCTAACGGCACGAAGTCGCCCGCTAAACAATGCTCTCCTATCCCCACATTACATGAAGGATAGTAGTGTTTCCTCTCCACATCGTCTCCCAACGGCGTAGAGACCAACAAAGGTTGCTCCATCGCTACTAACGGCATGCCCAATCCCTTGGCAAACGCTTCGCTCATAAATGAACATTGCGCTCCGGTGTCGATGAGAATCCTCGCGTGTCTACCGTTGATCTTTAGTGTCCCTACATATTCAAGCCATGTAAGACACTCGACATAACGTCCCGACTGAAAAGGACTTAGCGAAAAATTTCGGCTTAGGACTATACTATACTCGGTCGGGTAGGACCCTATACCCGGTCGGGTATAACTCGAGTCCTTAAGGAAAACTTCCTGTCATCCCTGCCCGATCGAGTACACCTCGAACCCGAACAAACTATCTATACCCGGTCGGGTATATGCCCATACCCGGTCGGGTATTACTCCAAGTTTTAAGTGAAAGGCTCCCTGCCAACGTCACTCGATCGAGTACACGCCTCCAAAACAACATTTTTACTAATACTCGATCGAGTATATACTATACTCGATCGAGTATGGATGGAATTGCCAAAATCGAAGGGTCCTGCTAAACGTGCTCGAACGAGTACACACTTCAAGACCGATCAATTTGCCCATACCCGGTCGGGTCTATATGGGTACCCGATCGGGTATCACCTGTTTCCTAAAGGTTTTAACTTTAAAACAGATGAAAAAAATGCATGTGGAATCCAGGGGTTACCTGCAATGGAGTCCGGGTTGGCCCGAGCATCGGCCTCGGTCATTGCATACACCCGTGCTTGGGTCCTCCCTTGGTTAACGGACGCGGCGTTACTAGTCGTGGGTCCGCCCCTTCCCGTGCCTCCATGAGATGGTCCGGCACGCCCTCTACTAGATGTAGGTTCTTCAGGGACTCCCGATGGTCCCCCTCCATTCAGCATTGGGCAAGAAAGTTTGAGGTGACTTGTGCTACCACACTTGTAACACCGGGGTGGTGCATTGCATTTCCCGGCATGGTTCTTGTTACAGTTTGGACACCTCAGTGGTCTCACGCTCCCCGAGCTATGCCCTTGCCCTCCTGGACCCTTGCTCTTCTTCGCTGGTGGTTCCGGCGCCCTAAATGAACTTCCATTCCCGGAGTGATGTTTCTGAGAATGGTCTTGGGGTCCAGAGTTTCCCCATCTTCTCTTCTTCGCCTCTTCGGCGTCTCTCTTCTTCCTTTCATTCCACTTGGCTTCCCCAAGTAGCCCCTGATCCACAATCTCACTAAAGGTCATGTGATGATTGTAGGTGGCCCTATCACGGATATCCAACTGTAGGGTATCCCAGAAGTGATTAGCCATGCGGTTCTCATCTATGGCGTACTCAGGTATGTATCGTGCCAAGTCCCGGAACCTTTGCTCCAGTTGCCTCACCGAGCAACCCTCCTCTTGTACCAGGGTCATATACTCCTTCCTCTTCTGGTTTTTCTCAAACTCCGAGTAGTATTGATTATAAAATTCTACTTCGAATTTCTCCCAAGTAGTCTCACCGTGGAACTTCCCTTCCACGCCTTCCCACCACACAGTAACTACTCCCTCCAGTAGCCTGGTAGCAACCGTCAGCTTTATGTCAAGCCCGATCTGCATATCTCTAGCAGCCTCATTCAACTTCTTGATCCAGTCCGTCGCCACAGATATGTCACCCTTGCCATCAAATGACTTACACCCCAAGGCCCTCGCCTCCTTGAGGTATTTGGAGATTCTTACACAGAAACCTCCTCCATGTACCCCCTGCGTCGCCACAGCAATGGCCACTGAAGCCCCCCGGCTTCCCTGACCCGAAACTCCCTGAGAGGCACGCCTAGCTTGGCGCCTAAGATCTCTCCTCATCTTTTCCTTTTGATACCACTCAAACAATTCACCCATCTGGGCGAATTTGGCATCACTTTCATCATTGTCCTCATTAGTGTATGTGTCACCCCCATCGTATGGGGTCTCCTCATGTTCCGTCTCGGGAACATATGTAGAGTCATAATCCTCGGTGTGAGTTCCGTGCACCGAGCTAACATGTCCATCGCTCATGGTTTGAGCCCGATGACCTCCACGGCCTCCACGGCTTCCGCAGTCTCCACGGCCTCCACGGCCTCTCCTACCGCCTCTCAAGCCCCGAGATGCAACCTGGCTATCCCCTATGGACGTCACCGGCGCTTGCCCCCTCGGGTTGTTCCTCGTAGCCATGCATTTCTGAAAGAAATTTGGAATGAGCCGTTAGACTCGTATCAATGTCAATCGACGGAATAGTACAAAAGACACCACTTGGTCCAACATTATGGCCAACAAACTGTTAAGGGTACCATCTTAACAATAAGAGGTCAATAACTTGGTTTCCAACGGTTCCTTAAGTACAAAAACTTTTGCTCATGGTTTTGTTCAAAACTTTTTGATGATACTATAGTGAGAGGTTAATTATATAGTTTAGAAATCGATGGCTCTGATACCATTTAATTGTCACGCCCCGGACCACATCCGTACCACGTAGACAACCGCCGTACAACCCAATAAGAACAACGTAGTTCATCCTTATTAAATCGTACAAGGCGTCCGATAGATTCTATTGCCAAACCGATTAGTAAACTCATACAATCAACATCAATATATTACCCAAACAAATGCGGAAGTAAAATATGTTTAGTAATTAGCCACACGTGGCAAACACGAGCACGCAGACCCTTCAATAGTTTAATAGGAAACATTGTTCAAATATCCATGAGCATTTTCACAAGTCAAATAAGAATGGAAGCACGAACCAAGTCTTCCTTATTCGAAGTCCACCCTATGCAAAGGTGCAGGTAGCAGGATTCTAGCCTTAACCTGAAAAATAGTGAGGGCCCCCGGAGGGGTCAGTACTTCACAGAAAGAAGTACTAGTGACAAGCAGGCTATATGAGGAATAACTAATGTTTCAGATACGAGACCCAAATATAGGATGATACATAAATATATAGGTGTAACCATTGTTACCCCATTCCCAAGATAATACATACTGTATATACTTGTAAAATACTTGACTCGTAGGTCGTTTCCTCACAAAAAAAGTCTTTTAGAGATAAGGTACTTACCCAACCTTTCCCCTTTCATCCTGAATGCCTAGCTCACAAGCTACATTCTACTTTCATAATATCCTACCGAGTTTCGGGAGTGTTTACCGTCCCGGGGATACTCAACCCCAACTGAGTTTTAGGATCATTTACCGTCCCGAGGATACTCAACCTCAACCGAGTTTTAGGATTATTTACCGTCCTGAGGATACTCAACCTCACCGAGTTTTAGGATTGTTTACCGTCCTGAGGATACTCAACCTCGCCGAGTTTTAGGATTGTTTACTGTCCAGAGGATACTCAACCTCACCGAGTTTCAGGATCGTTTACCGTCCCGAGGATACTCAACCTCACAGAGTTTTGGGATCGTTTACCGTCCCGAGGATACTCAACCTCAACCTTATTCCTTACCAACCCTAACTTGGATATGGCTAACCTTTCATTCACTTAACTATGGACAATACCTAGTCCTATAGTCATGTAACAATCCTTAGTAACCAACGTGGACGGGTCCCACCTGATCAGTCCACGTTAACCTACTCAAAAACTACCCGTTTTGAGTATAACCCAATACTCGATCGAGTACCCACCAATACTCGGTCGAGTACAGGAGACAGTAGCCCGTAAGGCTAATTTTCAAGGCGTACTCGATCGAGTACCTATCCATACTCGATCGGGTATAGGAGACAGCGGCCCTTGGGGCAGATTTTCAACAGACACCCGGTCGGGTATGTGCCAATACCCGGTCAGGTATTGCAGTTGACTTGGCGGTCAACGCCTGTTTGACCGCCCAAACGGAGTCCGATTAACGTGAAATTTTACATGCATGTGCTACTTGAAGTCCTTGATCCAAAAATGCCTGTTTTGGTCCTTGGAACATTATACATATCAAGTTATGATCATTTCACTAGTCAAACCTACATTTCATGCTTTCCAACCTTGTTATAGTTCTTAACATAACATAATACATGCTTTAATGACTTTAACCAATTCATAAAACATATTCTTGATTAATTTAGGTAATCTCATGCCTCACGCAAAAGTTATAAAGCATATAGCCGTCTTCTCGCCTTATTGAAGCTTATGAAGTTCTAGACTTCCCGGTTTAGCCTCGGTGAAACTCCGGTGAACTTCAACGAACTCCGGCGACAATTCCGGCGACCCTTTCAACTCCGTGAAGGTTCTTGAAATACCTTATACAAGTTAATAACAAGGTTTTGTCATCATAAAACCCCTATCAATACAAATAACCTCTAAAAGGTTATTTTCCGACGAACCGGTCAACTTTGTTCCCTAAATCCGTTTTGGATATGAACCAACCCTCCAACTCCCATTCTACACTTTAAAAGTGTAGAACTATACTAGGAGTATGAAATATGATTATAGTGAAGAAATGGGATTAATGAAGTCATTACCTTATTAACCACAAGTTTTCCTCCTATTTCTCTCTCTTCTCTTCTTCTATTTCCTTCCTTCTTCCTCCCCTTGCTTGGGTGCGTGAATGGTGGCTGCTATGGAGTATTTTCAGAGCTTCCCTCACCAAATAAGAGGGTATGGCCGAGCTGCAATGAGTTGGGATGATGGAGAATGCCTTTTTGGCATTTCTCTCAATAATGGCATGGGAGAGGTCCCATTCATTTCATTGTTTGCTCCCAATCACTTTATGCTCCCTCTTCTATCTTTCTTGTGCGGCTCCCCCTATTCCCTTGCAGCCTAAAATCGTGGGGTGGCCCCCACTTATGTAGGAGGTCATCCCTTTGTGACCCCAAGTGTACACTTGGTCCCGAAAGTTGTATTTTCGGGACTGTTTTAATTGTATTTCATTTTATCGGGTAAAATGAAATATCTACCATTCTTCCAATTATTATTGGCTATAAGAATGAATGTATATTCCCCAACTTTTAATTTGGTGGTCTCCATAATTTATTATGGCTTTTTATCCGTTAGTGCGTTGGTACCGATAAATGAGCTTTATATGCCCTATTGGTTACTCACATAATTTATATGGTCCAACAAGGATACCCACCATTATACACATATCATCTTGACCCAAACGGATATAATATGTGGTCCCGATAATATCGGGCGGCCCCCACTTCCGGTGTGGGCCCCCACGTGAATTTCTCTATTCACGTAAAAGAAATGATAAAAATTCACAATCACGTAAAATGCGTTTATTCATTTCTCGGGGTTCAATATATAATTTGATAAAGTACAAATACTTGGGGGCGGTGTTACATCCTCTCCCTCTCTTCCCTGCCTCTTCTCCACACATCTCAACTCGTCTGACAAGTGCATCACTCGATCACATAGAAATCCCGACATACTCTTCCACTTCATTATATTCTATTGTGTAATGCATGCTATATTTTATGTAAATTTCATTGTAAAATATGTAAATACAAGTTTTAATATATATATATAGTTTATATTTGATGTAAATGTGATACATATCTAAATGATATTATGCATATTTTGAAAACGTGTGATTAACTTGTAAATGTAATATTATTTATTGATACAAAAGCTAAGGAGACGTTTGTTTCGCTACTAAAATCACAGTTAGGTTAGTAAAACGGGTGAAGTAAACGCATGAACTGATTAAAACATGTTTACTAACTCAAACAGCTGTTTAAAGTGTCACTTACCAAACATATCACCCTCTGTGTGTTAATTAAACGACGATTTAAGCTTTTTTCACTTTCCGCATTACCCATACGCCTTATAGATATATTATAAAAAAATATGCATATATACATCTGCATATATATAATATTATATATAGAATATTATGTGTGTGTATATTGTTTTATATCATATCATGTCATATTATATCATATCATTTTTTAAAGCTCGATAGGCAAACTGCTCATCGGTGGGGCAAACGTCGAACATTTAGCAAGATTTTATTAAATAGAAAAAATAGTACACATGAAGAGGGAACTAGACTATAATCTTTTCACATAAGACATATCATCTCAGGATACAAGAAAACAGAGAAAAAGCATAAATAAATTGGAGGTGCTAGGGCTGATCCAATATAATAATAAAAAACATAATAAAAAGCTTAACTGAATAGAAGGAATCACATAAAGGTCTAATAAATAAGCCTTTCTAGCCCGAAATACAGAGGTTTGTCTTATATTTATTATAGTTGGGTATTGGGCTCAAACCCAAATATCCTAGACAGACCAATTGGCATGCGGGCCCGATCTCGGTTCACCCAATCTAGAAGCTCTGTCGGGAGGCGCGTGCGGGATCTGCTGGACGAGCTAATCCTGCCACTTGGTATCCTCTCGGATACCATCAATTGCTTGAGGAAGAGCTCTCCAAAGCAATTATCGGGAAAGTTAGAATTGGCGGGAAACATATTTTATGCACTATATATGTGAATGTTATGGTTGGAGCTATCTATTCAGGGCTGAGCACGTCACCCTCTCCACATACTTACTACCTTGTAGTATAAATATTTGCCTTTATTTCATTTTAAAAGGTTTGCAAACTTTAGCAAGGGCGTGGTGTTGTAATCGTTCCAAGTGCTTAATAAAACTTGAACCACTTTGCTTCTTATCTTTTTGTTATTGCATCTGCCTCGTACTTGTTTGACATATACTCACTAACTAGTCTACAAAAGAATAGGATGAAAACCGAAGGGACTGTGTTGGGCCTTTATACCACGAGAATTTAATCTCAACACTAGATCCGTGTATGAAAAACTGAACTAAAATCCTGGAGCAAGCTCTTGCGTGGTAAGCAGCACCTTCTATGACTCAAAACCAACATTCTCGATGAAATGGTTAGACAATCACCCCATCACCCCAGCATACCTAGGACCTCTCGAAACAACTACGCGACAGCAGGAGGGCACGAACTCTTACTTTTGGGGAACCATCCAAATGTGGTTAGTCGAATCGGGGGGCGCAGGGAGATCTCACCCACGTGATCCCAGTTGAACCCCGCTGCAGTCCGCGCCTCCTGAGGGCACTGGTCGATACTTTGAGGAATATAGCTAACCAAAGCAACGCCGAGCAGATCGTGCATGCTGCTAGAACGGAGTGCACCTCCGTATCACCTGTTCGGCGAATGCAGTCACTTGATGTATAGAGTGGGGAATCTGATGCCTCCCGTACCTCATCCTTCACACGAATTGATGGAACAACATTCAACTAAAGGCTTGGAGGTCGAGGCCACTCGGGGGGAGCCATTCAGCAAACCGGGGTTTCGAAATCCTTAAAGAGAGGCACACCGCGGCAGAGCAGGCACCCGTCGTTCCCCATGACAGCCACTGAGCGTGGGAACTGACCTTGACCATGCAAAAATAAGGTCGTCGTTTCCAAAATTGGGAGACAAAAGACCACCGGATCACGATAGTACACTGCAGGCCTAAACATATTCGTGCGGGCGATGAAGCTGCACAGAACATTTATACTCCGCCAACCCCCACTTGCTACAAAGACAGGTTGACGACCTCAATCGTCAAATGCCAAGGACACCTGCCCAACCCTGGCTTTACCTCACATCGCTCTTCTCCGCAAAAATCATGAGTGTTCATATTCCTTGAGATTGCAGACCGTTGAGTGGCGTCTACTATGAGGTTGGGGACCCGAGGGCCCACCCGCTGAGCTACCAGGTGGGCTCGTGCTGCTAAGGGCATCCAATGTCTTAGCTAGCCGCGTCTCTGGTGCATGACAGATCCGATATGAGGCCGTCGGTGACAGATCCGCCATACTCCATGGACAATGACTTTGATTTGGGGTCCGATTTGGGAATACCACTGCTGGTGGAGTCTGATTTGGGGCCGCCGTCGCCGCTGGGGTCCGATTTGGGGCCGCCGCCGCCGCCGCCGCTGGAGTTCGGTTTGGGTCCGCTGCTGCTTGCGGTGGTGTTATGGCTAAGGTTTTGTGTGAATCAGCTAGACAAGGACCTGGGGGGAGGATAGGGGTGAGGCAGGGGACCAGGGGAACAGGGGCTGGGCTGGATGTTAGGGCTGAGGGCGGGTGGCTGGTGGTGGTGACTAGCTGTGACTGAGGTGGCTTGGTCATTGTGACACTGGCGGCATGGGGATGGAAGGGGAAATACGAATTTACCGTGACCATGGTATGGCTATGCCCATGGGGTGTCACTGGGCGGCGGCTGTGACAGTGACATTCAAAAGTGACATGATCATTGGTGAGTGACACGATTTTCTTAGGTGTCACTTTATCTTAGTCACATTTTTGTCGAAATACAAATATGGTCACTTTTTAAGAAATTTGCTTTGAATTAGTAATATTAAGGGATAAACCCCATAAACATTTCTATTGTTTTCAATACATAAATAGTGTGTACTATCAAATAAGCATGTTTACTACAGAAACACTGTCAATCAACTCATTTTAACTTGCTATAGCATAATGTTAATACAAAAGTCAATTGACTAATCTTATAAAAATTCATATAGATTTTAAGAATAGTGTAATAATCATAATATAAAAAATTGTATTGATTTATAAATGGATAGATAATTTTAACAAGTTATCATTAAAAATAAAAATAGAAAAAAGTATTGAGCAATTTTTTAAATTAAAAAAGGAAAATAGTCAAATAAACCTTTCTATTGTTGTAAATACATCACTTAACTCCATATACTAAAAAAAGCACGTAGTATCATATAAGCATGTTTACAATAGAAATACCATCAATCATGTCATTTTAACCTGGTGTAGCATAATGTTAATATAAAAAACAATTGACTAATCTTATAAAAATTCATATAAATTTAAAAAATAGTGCAATAATCATAATATAAAAAATCATATTAATTAAAAATGGATGGATAATTTTAACAAGTTATCATTAAAAAATAGAAACAAAAAATAACAAAAAATAAAGTGAAAGTGTAAAAAATATAAAATTAAAATGTGATAACTTTAAAAAAGATGTAGAATATACAAATAGTTCCAAAAAACAAAAAATCTTTGACATTCTTAAATTGCCCACAATTTATATATATAATTCTTTGAATTTTAACATTTTTTTAAGTCTTTACAAAATTATAAGCATGAATGAGAGTAAGGTCATTTTGGACATTAAAAATTTGTTGGTGGTAATATGATGCTCTATACAAATGTACACATATGTTTTAACCATTGTACTCCATGCTTCTCGTTTATCTGTCAATCTGTCATTCTGTCAACGAACAGTACTGTTATTTGCCTCCCTTCACGTCCAACCCATTCAACAGATGGAATGGTTAGGGTTAGATAAGATTTGGCTGAGAGCTTACCCGTCTAGCTCGGTGAAATATACTATACACCCAGTTGTACCGTGTGACTTGGTACAGCCAGATATTTTTGTAAATGTGTGCAAAGCGGAGGTTGTAAGTTATGGAGCTGGGTGTTTGATTCTTTTATTTTTCTTCCGTGTTCTCTTCCTTTCCTCTAGATTTCTTCTTCCGTTTTTGTTTTCCATTTATTTGCCGTTTACACTTTCCCTCTCCACCCAATCATTGTAACATCTGCCGTTCTCTCTTCTTTTTTCATCTTCCGATTTTTCTTCTTCTTTTTTTTACTTATGAACTTTAATTTTTCCAATTTTAACATTTCTTTTTGTTTTTTCTGCTTCCGTTTTTTCTCATTTTTCTTTAACTTCTGATATTTTCCATTTTTCTTCTTATATATACCTTGTGTCTTTTGCTTCTTTAGCTTTTCCCACCTCTTATTTATTTATTTATTTTGTAAATTTTCTTCAAGAATTTTTTCATGCAATTCTTTCAAAAATTCATATGGAATGACAATTCAATAAAAATATGTAATTCTCTCACCTTTTTATTGAAAGCTCCAACCTTCAAAATAATTACGAGTATATTACTTAAATTAAATATGCATTGATATAATTTTAAAAAATAAGCATAATAAAATTGATTGTTCTAAAATAAGGAATGTGTTCTTTATGTTCTACCGATATGAGCATACACAAATTCATATATAAGCACATTCGAAATTTTAAAAGAATTTTTTAAATTTTTTGATACTCATTTTGTAAGTTATCTATGCTCATTTGGTATTTGTGTAATGCTCATTTTAAAATAAGCATTACACTAAACAATTTAAAATAGGTTTAAATATGTGTTTAGTCCCTGCAATTATAGTACATTTTGTTTTACATCCCTGCAAAATTATTTTTTTGTTTTTCGTCCCTGCAATTACATAGGTTTTCTTTTTAGTCCATCATTGGTGATAACAATCTCCGTTTGACTTCAAAATAACCCCGATTAATACATTCCCTCTAATTCTTTGTCATGTTATTTAAAAAGTATTATATTTTATTTTTTAGAAAGTTTTTAATATATATTTTCAAAATATGAATACTTAGTTTTAAATTATTTTAACTCTCATATTAGCCTCAAAAAAATTACTTCGTATAAAAGGACAAATCTACATATTTTTACTAGATTTATATAACTAACAATAACTTTTGTTGTAAGTAGAGTAGTTTCAGAATTGGATATGGACTAAAAGCAAAATAGTGTATATTGCAGGGATGAAAAACAAGAAAAATATTTTGAAGGGACTTAAACCAAAATGTGTCATATTTGCAGGGACTAAAAACGTATTTAAGCCTTTAAAATATCATATTTGTGCATATTGGTGTAATGCTCATTTTAAAATTTTCAATGCTCATTTCATAAGTTATGTATTCTCATTTATTATTAGAGCATACTAAAAATTTTAAATGAGCTTTTTTAAATTTTTTCGATGTTCATTTCGTAAGTATGTGTGCTCATTTGATATTGGTGTAATGCTCTTTTTTGTAAGTTACGTATGCTCATTTAGTATTGATGTTATGCTAATTTTTCAAATGTCATATCAATACATATTTCAAAAGTATCATATATTCATATTACATTATATTTGCATATTGAAATTCATAAGAGTTGATTATAGATATAATTTAATAAGTTTTTATAAAACAAAAATATAAAAAAAGACTGAATTAAAAGACATGAAGCAGAGATTACGATTCTCAATATTAGACTCCTAATAGTCAATATATTAGGTCTAGTGCTAATTAAAAGTTCATTAATGCTCATTTAAGAGAAAGCATTATTTTCATCTCATTATAGAAGGTTTGATGCTCAATTAAAATGTCGTGACGTCCAACTAACAAATCTTATGAATTTTATATTTATGCTCATTTTGTAAGTTACATATGCTCAAATGGTACTCATGTTATGCTCATTTTTAAAATGTCATAACAATGCATATTTCAAAAGTACTATATTACATTAGATTCGCATATTGAAATTCATAGGAATTGATTATAGATATAGAAAAAGAAAGTAAATTATAATATATGAAATTGATATCACAATACTCATATTTGACTCTTAATGCTCAATAGAATACGTCTGATGCTCATTAAAAGTGTATCAATGCTCATCTAACGAAAACCATGATTGTCACTGATATTACGAAAATGCCACCGTTTTTTAGTTGTGATATCAACTTTCTTGTACTAACACGGTGCTCATTAAAATTGGGCTATTGCGCATTAACCGTACACTGATGCTCATTTAGTACAAACCACAATTTTCATATTAATTACAAAAATACCACCGAATTATTTTGCTATTTTTTTCTTAGGCCTGTTACTTTCCTTATTTGGCCGGTTGTACGGTGCTCACCGTACAGCCGGGTGTATAATATACGCTCTCGTTTATCTGTCATTCTGTCAACGAACAGTACTGTTATTTGCCTCCCTTCATGTCCAACCCATTCAACAGATGGAATGGTTAGGGTTAGATAAGATTTGGCTGAGAGCTCACCCCGTCTAGCTCAGAAGAAAGTCCACACCGGTGGACATCCTTGTAAACTAAAAGAACTCAGACGGTCGGAAAAATAAAAAGAATTGAGATGCTCTGGATGCTGATGACTAATGCTGATGACTAATGGCGATTGGCGACGAGTGAGATGATGGGGATGGGCGAGACGACGACAACGAGTGCAATGTTGGTGGCAAGTTCGGACTCTGGAGATCCCCATTTTGCTGCAAATAGGTCAACTTTTTTTTAAAGAAAATATGAGTTATTAAAATTTTGGGTCTGGGGCTAGACATAGTAGATTTGGGTATGATCCAGAAGGCATCAAGCATGTTAAATTGGAGTTTGACACCCCTACTTTGAGGTCTCTAACAATAAAGAGGGGCACTTTAAAATCAGTCCAATTGTCACGCCCCGGACCGCATCCGTGCCACGTAGACAACCGCCGTACAACCCAATAAGAACAACGTAGTTCATTCTTATCAAATCATACAAGGCGTCCGATAGATTCTATTGCCAAACCGATTAGTAAACCCATACAATCAACATCAACATATAAATCAAACAAATACGGAAATAAAATATGTTTGATATTTAGCCACACGTGGCAAACATGAGCGCGCAGGCCCTTCAATAGTTTAATAGAAAACATCGGTCAAATATCCATGAGCAATTTCATAATTTCAAATAAGAATGGAAGCACGAACCACGTCTTCCTTATTTGAGTTCACCCTAGGCAAAGGTGCAGGTAGCAGGACTCTAGCCTTAACCTGAAAAATGTGAGGGCCCCCGAAAGGGTCAGTACTCCATAGAAAGTACTAGTGACAAGCAGGCTATATGAGGAATAACTAATGTTTCAGACACGAGACCCAAAAATAGGATGATACATGTATTTATAGGTGTAACCATTGTTACCCAATTCCCAAGATAATACATACTGTATATACTTGTAAAATACTTGACCCGTAGGTCGTTTCCTCACAAAAAAGGTCTTTTAGAGATAAGGTACTTACCCAACCTTTCCCCTTTCATCATGAAAGCCTAGCTCACAAGCTACATTATACTTTCATAATATCCTACCGACTTTCGGGAGTGTTTACCGTCCCGGGGATGCTCAACCCCAACCGAGTTTTAGGATTGTTTACCGTCCTGAGGATACTCAATCTCACCGAGTTCTTGGGATTGTTTACCGTCCCGAGGATACTCAACCTCACCGAGTTCTTGGGATTGTTTACCGTCCCGAGGATACTCAACCTCACCGAGTTCTTGGGATTGTTTACCGTCCCGAGGATACTCAACTTCAACCTTATTCCATACCAACCCTATCTTGGATATGGCTAACCTTTCGTTCACTTAGCTATGGACAATACCTAGTCCTATAGTCATGTAACAATCCTTAGTATCCAACGTGGGCGGGTCCCACCTGATCGGTCCACGTTATCCTACTAAAAAACTACCCGTTTTGAGTATAACCCAATACTCGATCGAGTACCCACCTATACTCGGTCGAGTACAGGAGGCAGCAGCCCGTAAGGCTAATTTTCCATGCATACTCGATCGAGTACCTATCCATACTCGATCGGGTATAGGAGACAGCAGCCCTTGGGGCAGATTTTCAGCAAATACCCGGTCGGGTATTTGCCAATACCCAGTCGGGTATTGTAGTTGACTTGGCGGTCAACGCACGTTTGACCGCCCAAACGGAGTTCGATTAACGTGAAATTTTACATGCATGTACTACTTGAAGTCCTTGATCCAAAAATACCTATTTTGGCCCTTGGAACATTATACATATCAATTTATGTAATTTCACTAATCAAACCTACATTTCATGCTTTCCAACTATGTTATGGTTTCTATCATGACATACCACATACTTGACTACCATTAATCAATTCATAAAACAAGTTCTTGATTAATTTAGGTAATCTCATGCCTCACGCAAAAGTTATAAAGCATATAGCCGTCTTCTCACCTTAAAAGAAGCTTAGGGAGTTTTAGCCTTTCTTATTGAGCTCCGGTAAAACTTCGGTGAACTTCAACGAACTCCGGTGACAACTCCGGCGACCCTTTCAAAGTCCTTGAAGTACCTTATACAAGTTAACAACAAGGTTTTATCATCATAAAACCCATATCAACATAAATAACCTCTAAAAGGTTATTTTCCGACGAACCGGTCAACTTTGTTCTCTAAATCCGTCTTGGATATGAACCAACCTTCCAACCCCTCATCTTTACATCTAATGTGAAGAGCAGTTCCATGGGTATGAAGTATGATTACATAACCATATTGGGAGATTAAAGAAAAGGAATGGGATTAATGGAGTTATTACCTTGTTAATCCTCAAGTCTTCCTTCTTCTTTCTCTTTCCTTTCCCCTCCTCCTTCTTCCTTAGCTTTGGTTCGAATGGGGATGGTGGAAATAGTATTTTGCAGAGCTTCTCTCTCAAAAATGGATGGTAAGGTCGAAAGGATGGGTGTAGGGAGTGATTGGGGTGACTTTGGCTCCTTCCATGATGATGAGAGGTGAGGGGTCCCCTTGGAGTCAACTCTTGTCTCAACCTCCCCCCTTAGCTCGCCTCTATCATCTTAAGTCAACATTTGCACACTCCTCTCATCACTTGAGAGCTGGAAAAACGTGGGGTGGCCCCCCCTTATGTGGGAGGTCATCCCTTTATGTCCCCGAGTGTACATTTGGTCCCGAAAGTTGTATTTTCCGGACTGGTTTAATTGTATTTCATTTTATCGGGTAAAATGAAATATCTATCATTCTTCCAATTATTATTGGCTATAAGAATGAATGTATATTCCCCAACTTTTAGTTTAGCGGTCTCCATGATTTATTATGGCTTTTATCTGTCAGTATGCCGGTACCGATAAATGGGCCTTATATGCTCAATTGGCTACTCACATAATTTATATGGCCCAACAAGGATATTCACCATCATACACATATTACCTTGACTCAAACGAATATAATATGTGGGCCCGATAATATCGGGTGGTCCCCACCTCCAGTGTGGGCCCCACGTGAATTTTACTATTCACGTAAAAAGAAATGATAAAAAAATTTACGATCACGTAAAATGCATTCATTCATCTCTTGGGGTTCGATACATAATTTGATAAAGTACAAATACTCGAGGGCGGTATTACACCAAACGCATTGTAATATGTGTCCCTGGAGTTTGACAACCCTCCTTTGTGTTCTTGGTTTACTCTAAGAGAAAACATATGACTATAATTGCCCCCCCCCTCCACCCCCCCCCCCCCCCCCCCAACACACACTTTGGTTAGTAAATATGTGTTCACAAATTGGCACAAGTTCTCTTCCAGTACGCAATACCCTTTTCCCAGTAAGCTTCTTAGCCCCAACTCATAAGGTTTATTGATTGTGTATATTCAATCGTGTATGTAGGCCATATGTGTGACCATAGGAAATTAACTTCTCCTACACACACAAACCAATGTATGCTCATACTCCAGTTTTCCCAATTGTTATCTTAATAGATGTTGGCTCTATTTAATTTTAGAGTTAATGACTCAAATCGGACTTATTGCAAACTTTATTGCACATATAGGACTGCTTACGAAAGTAGAGTTTCATAGGACTAAAAATAGCTTTAATGGACAAAAACACCCCTGTTATAATATTTCATTTAATGATTTAGGAGGTATTGCACGGTGCACGAAGCACGAGGCTTGTGAGTCGAAATTTTGGGTAGCCGCAAATGGAAAACCACCCCTAGCATGCGCAGCCTGCCTCTGGCCATCCGCCTCGCCGCAGCCTCCCACCGGCGTCTCCATCCTTGGCAGGCCCACCAGCATCGCCATCTGCCACCACCGTCACTGTTCTCCGATGTTGCCGACTTGCCGCCACCCCATCGTCATAGTCGCGGTTGCCACTTTGGTCACCATCACTGCCTTATCAAAATTGCTACCAGTGTCAATTTCAGCACCACCATCACCGCCACAACTCCGGCGCCATATGTCTACCATTAACTTGACAGATTTAGCTTAATTACAAATCTGCCAATCCATTAAAAATGAATTTTCAAAACTGCCATAAAGTTGGCAGATTTATCTTGCAGATTTATATAAAACTGTCATAATCTTGGCAAAATATGAAGTCAACAACTAAAGGTTCAAAAAATCTCAAATTTTAATGGAACAATCACTATAACAAATTCACCTCAATCACAAAATAAGAAATTAATGATAAAAATTAGAAAGATCAGAGTTTACACAAAAGCTCTTTGCCATAATATGATTGTTAATGTACATTTCTTGCATAAACTTGGCAGATTTATCTTGCAGATTTGTACGAAACTGCCATAATCTGGCAAAATATGAAATCAACAACTAAATGTTCAAAAAATCTCAAATTTTAATGGAACAATCACTTTAACAAATACACCTCAATCACAAATAAGAAATTAATGATAAAAATTAGAAAGATCGGAGTTTACACAAAAGCTCTTTGCCACAATATGATTGTTAATGTACATTTCTGCCATAAAGTTGGCCAAATGTGATGCCATCATCCATAAAAATCAGAATATCGTTTTGTTTTTTTGCAAATTAAGAATCCAGAAAACAGTATTATGAATTAGAAGTCTAAAAATCAACAAGTTGAATGTCAAAACTCAAAATAGCATAGGAATAGAAGGAAAATCTGAAAGATCAATATCAAAACCCGAAAAATTGAATAACAGGCGGATGAGTAGGAAGAGGAAGAAGGAGGAGGGGGAAGAAGATGAAGAAGAAGAAACCTGACACGCGGCGGCCTGCCGCGGAGCCAACAACGGTGATGGCTTGGGATGAATTTGACGATGGCGTGTGGACGATGCGGTGAAGTCGATGAATTGATGCGCAGAGGAGAAGAGCTCGTTGGATCTGATTCATATGGGAGAAGGGAGAGAGGCTGTGAGGATGTAGTGGAGAGGTGTTGTACATGGTCTAAAGCAGGAGTTGAGTAGTGGATTAAGGCAGGGATATAAATGTGATGAAAATTGTCTATGTTTTCAAATGAGAGTAATATGATCCTATTTAGGGAAAAAACTTACATGGTCCTATTTAAGAATTTCTCACGTGTTTTACTCCTATTTGAGACAATTACTATTAATTTTATTTGTTTTATTTGCTTCATAGGCTTGTTTAATCATTTACGTAATTGATGTTCTAATTGATGGTTTAAAAAGATGCTAATGTGATTAATGAGGTGCACATGGTTTAGTATAGTGTTATTGAAGATTAGAAGGAGAAATGGAATTTAGTGTAAGTTTTGGGATTTTACTTCTGGAGGGTTCACTTTAACTTTATTACCTCATATACCATATGGGATGAATTGCTCTCAGTTTGAGAGCAGTTTTATGCTTGTCAGGTAGTGGTTTTTCATCAATACCGATCTTGGGAGTACTAACCCGCCTCCAAGTTACCTAATTTTTTTTAAATACTATGAGTGGTCTCTTAGTAAATGTACAAGATATGTTAACTTAGTGAAAAAGTAATGAGGTTAATCTTGATTAAAACTTAGCAAACTGAATTGAAAGGGCATCAAGAAAGTGAATTGTAGTACTCATAGGGTTATCTCTTAAATGCCCGAGTATATGAGTCAGCCTATAGAATTAAAGTCATTAGTCACTGGCCACTATATAGAAGTCTCCGAAAATTCGCGTTAGCAAAATGAAAAAGTTAGGAAGTTCAACTAGAACCATATCAAATTGCATTGACATGCACTGTGTATTTGATTTGGAAGGCTATGAATGAAACACTTTTTTCCAATATGGTAACCACAACAGTAAATACTATAGAGCAAATTAAAGTACTTATTTATAAGATCATGCTTAGATTATATTCTACTAACATGATTGAACACTGAGGTTAAAAATTGAAAGGGAGGGCTGCTCTAAATCTGTTTTTTGAGGAATTTGTTGTTGATAGTTTATTAGATTTGATAGATTTGATAGTTGGGTAGTCTGCTTTATTGGTGTTGTACGGAATGGGGGAATGTTTTTGCAACATTGCTGTTTCGCTGTTTTTGTTGTGCACAATTTAGAGGCCGTTTGGATACACTGTTTTTCGGTTTATCGGGTTTATCAGCCAACTTTTTCACCATACACGTAATTTTTGGAAAGCGCGCTGAATTATGTAATTAGCAGAAAAAGTAAGGTTGGAGTTGCTTTTCTGGCTGTATTGGCTGAAATTACTGTAGATGACCATTATAACTATTTTTACATATAAATTTTTCTTTATTTTATTAATAAAGTATATTTTTTTTAAAAAAATCTTAAACCAGCAGAATCAGCCACTTCAGACAGAACTTCATAAATTTCAGCAGAATCAGCCAAAACAGCCGATTTTGGTGCTACCAAATGGACTCTTAGTGCGCATTGTGTTTGATCATAGAATGAGTTTTGGATATATAGCTTTAAGAAATTCAACAGGCTGCTGATATAAAGCTTACGAGGGGATGCCGTTGTGTTGATTGTACACATATTTTCCGCAGCTGATTTTATTTAACTTTCATGTTCATGACCACTAACAACCAGAGGTGGCGTTAATATACTTAGGGTCTGTTTGCAACAACTTCTTCTTTTAAAAAGTGCTTTTTTTAATGAAACGGAGAGAAGTGATTAAATAAAAGTTGATAGTGTTTGAGATACAAGTGATTTTGAAAAGTAAAAGTGGGTAGTGTTTGGTAAAATAAGTGCTTTTTGTGTAATAGAAAAAGTAAAAGCACTTTTGACGCGGAAGCCGAGAAAAATAAAAGTTGCAGTGTTTGGGAAAATAAATGTTTTTTTAAAGCAAAAAATTGAGAAGTGCTTTTTTAAAAGAAGTTGCAAACCAACCCTTAGCATAAAACACAACTCATGTATCACGTATTAGGTGGTATTGAGATTGAAATCAAAAACCGGTAAAAAAAATACATGCTACTTTTTTTTTTAGTATATGAGAATAATAGAAGAAACTATTTGAATTGAAAGTAATGGAAAAAACTATTTGACCTTTTTTCCTTTTTTTTATTCAAAAACTTGCTCATTAGAGAATATAATGTAATTTCAAACAGATCGTTAAATCACTCTAGATTAAGGATGGCAATGGGGGCGGGGACCTGTGGGGAACCGCCCCGCGGGGAAAGGATGGGGCGGGGCTTGGAGCGGGGCGGGGGCGGGGATGGGTGAGATCTTTTTACGCCGTTAAAATATGGGACGGGGGACGGGTATTGCTACACCCGCCCCGTCCCCGTTATAAATATATACTCAAACATATATGTACACATATATAAATAATGTACACACATATTAAATTTAATTATATGTAGTATATTACAAACGCATATACATATAGACATACATAATTGTATACGGTTTAATCATGGTTAATGAATTAATACATTTTATACTAGCAATAAGCTAGTAATGATTAAAAATATTTATCATAAATGTTATATGAGTTTTAAGAGTGAGAAAGTGAGTAAATAAACACACACACATTTATATGTAATATGTAATTAATTGTATTATAATTTTTGAGAATTTTGAAACGACGTACATGATGATAATATGTTTACTTATATTTTTACTTTAACTGTTTTCAATTCACAAAACTTATCACTGTGTGTGCGTAGATATATATAGGTTTATGATCTTGCAATGTTTAACGTGCGAACACCACATTTACCCCCAATGCGAAACACAATGAGCTCGCAAAATGCACTTTTTCGTATCTAGTATAATATTTACAAAAGTGCCGCCGTGATTATTTATATTAGCTTGTATTGAGTCAAGTTCAAATGTGCACTAGAATGACTCTATTGTGTATCACATTGGATTAAATGTGATTAAAGTCCAAATGTGCACTAGAAGGACTCTATTATGTATCAAATTGGTTTAAACGTGAGTGTTCCCACGTTAAGCATCGTTCTCATTGGAATCACACTACTTATATTTATAATAAGAGATTAAGGGTATATGCAAATACGATAAATTAAATCTATATGGGGCACCCGCGGGCACCTGTGGGGGACAACAGGGTGAGGATGAGACGGGTCTGGGAGTAACGGGGTGGAGATGGGGGAGTGTATCCCGTCCCAAACCCACCCCATTCTCATCCCTACTCTAGATATACCCCTACATCCCACTAGTACTTCCTCTGGTTAAAAAATACAGTACTAGTTTAACACAGGCATTCTCGGCTGCCCCATTCTTCAAAACTAAAAGATTTGAATACCAGAAATTAAAGACGCACTGTAAGCACTAGATATAGGGAATGAGAGTGTGTGAGCTCCCAGTCACTCGTCTTCTCTGATTCCCAGTATTCAGTTTTTTCTGGGCTCAGGGACTCAGGAAAGATGTCTGACGAGAAGAGCAGCAGTGACGGTTTCTACAGATGGAGTTGGGATGTAGCGGGATTCGAACCAAGGTTGTCACCAACGGAGCACGACGATCACCACAGCTTGACGCCGCCTGCCCCGCTGGTCCGGAGGCACTCGATCTCACCCTCATCCATCTCTTCGTATTCGGAATTATCTAAGCACGCCAAGAGCTCCGGACTCCTCAGATTGAAGAACAAAATCAAGGTTATCATTTCTCTTTCCTTTAACCTATGTGACTATGCCCTGTCAGTTCAAGTACAATATCAGGGAGTTCGTTTATCGATGAAGCAGAAATGTGAAATCTATACTGTCTTTTGGTTTCACCCTCTTACCTTATTACTTATGGACACGGAGAAGTTGTATCCTGGTGTGGATATTAGAAATGAGCGGTGATATTTTTAGCCAGGATAAGTTGATGCCTATGAGGTAAGTTGATTTAGGCTTTTGAGGCTGCTAAGGTTTCCCATGAGGCCATGAGATATAAACTCTTGAGATGCTAAGTATATCTTTGAGCATTTCTTAAACTTTGTGCATCCTACCATTTGAAATGGCAATGTCAGGGGTGGTCCATGTTTTTCAAGTGGTCTCTTATACTACCTCCGTCTCAAAAAAACTTTGTCATTTTCAAAACTTTGACCATCTATATATTTTTATTGGAAATTATTTATAGTATAAAAATCATATAAAAATGTCCTTTGTTAAAAATACTTTCATAAAACTATAAAATTTATAATTTCCATAAGACCATACTAATCAAAATTATGGTTCAAATTTTATGAAATGGCAAAGGTTTTTTGGACAGAGGTATTATTATTATTAGTAATAGTAGCTTCTTTTTAGTATTGAAAGTCTATGTTAGTTAATTTCTTAGTAGTAGTACTGTAATAGGTTAAGACTACTCAAATACTAGATAAGTAATACGGGTAAGAGTGTTTGATGGAACATAAGAGTCCAATCACCTAAGAAAAGAGTAGATAAGTAATACAAATAAGGTAAGGAAAGACTAAACTAACTTACAAATAATAGCGAAACCAAGATACATGTGGAACTGCTTCCTTGTGCCCACAAGTCCTCTGACCTGCCCTAACTATTCACCTGATCCCCGCTTCTTACGATGATTATAACATTGCTACACAAATATGTCCATAACTTCACCTCCCATTATCCAAGAGCCTCTTTTGGAGGTCAATGATACAAAATGAAGTTTGGAAGGATACCAACATCTCCGATGAAGCTTCACCATCTAACTGCTGTGACCAGTGCACCAAGAACTTGAGTTGGCCCTGATTACAGAGTACAGAGTGCACAGTCTGGAGGGCGGCAACCTGCTTATCCAGAGGTGCAAGGGCTTCCATTGAGTCCACCGGTGGCCTTTGTGTCGTTCAAGAAAGGTTATATGATGAGCATCATATATGCAACTCTAAGTATGCAAAATTAACTTTTAAGCTCTTTGGCCAATCCGGAGTAATACCTGATTGGCTGATTGGACCATAGTATTCAGCATCAACGTATGATGACAGTGAACCAAAGAGAAACATTTGATGACAATAAGCGAGATCGAGAAAATTTAGATCCGACCAAATCAAACCAGATGCTACCCCTTATACTTCTTTATTGTTAATGTTATTGTTGTTATTGTTACACTTATTACGACACCAATTAGTGACAATACCAACAACAACAAATAACAACTAAAACAACAATCATCATACAATTAATTTCAACATAAATCAGATCAGTATTATGTAGACCAACACCAATCAGTTAGACCAAATCAGAAAGATTCTGATTGGATCCATGTTCAAATAGGACTTGAACAATTCAAAACAAACCAACAAGATTCAGACTGGTTAAACAAATCTAAAATGAGATAAAAAAGATTCAGTTTAGATGAGACCAAATAAGAAAATTTCATGATCAAGTGGGAGTGATTCAGATAAGATCAGCCCCAAAACTTAAATTTTTTAGATTAGAAACATTCAAATCAGATGAAGAGAACAACTTCTTGGGGAGTGATACCATGTAGAATAATGAAAATTACTTGTATTTATATACAACTCACGACTTTATAATTTCTGAAGATTATTTAAATGCTTTTATGAAGAAGTACTGAACCTAAGCGCAGTCAGAATTGGGTAATGAGAATAGGCAACTCATGACATTAACTCACTTTGCCTGAGATGGTGAACTGGAATCCTATAACTGAATTTTGGGTTAAAAATAATATTGTAAAGTCAAACACAAATGAAGAACATTGTCTGAAAAGGACATGTAGATATTGACTTAAGTTGTGACATGATCGGCTAAGCATTTTCGTTATGGATTTTTTTTAGAATTTCCTCTCCGCATTTATTGTCAGTGTATAGCACTAATGTGATTCGTTTTGACGCAAACAAACTTATTATTAACAAGAAAATGCAAGAAAAGCTGATTCCTTTGTTTATACTCAGAGGTGGAATGGTTAATCTTCTTCTTGCTCATTCATTTAGTAATTTACCCACCATGCAGTGTCAAATCAGTAAAGTTTTACTTCTAACGATATCAGAAATATCATTGGCAGCTTGTTAGGGAGGACTATGCCGAGTTGCGACAAGAGGCCAGTGATCTGCAGGAATATTGCAATGCAAAACTTGACCGCGTCACACGCTACCTTGGTGTACTTGCTGACAAGACCCGTAGATTAGGTAATAAAATGTACTTGTGTAGTACATATAATCTCAATGGCTAGATTATATGTAACTATCTTATACTCAGAGAGTGTATGTTTATTTTCTATTTTTATGTTTTTATCAGACATTTTAAAACATAACCTTTGACTTGTTATCAGATCAAGCAGCTCTTGATACAGAAGCTAGAATTTCTCCTTTGATATCCGAGAAGAAAAGATTATTTAACAAGTTATTGACTACCAAAGGTATACAGAGTTTTGTTATCATCCCTTGCCTTATACAAGTATGCTTGATAAAGGCTCTCAATGAACTCTTCCAAAAGAAAGCGTCTTTCATTTTCATGACTAGTATATTGTCATTCAGACCATTTCAAAGACATACAGTGATGTACATGTATTTATGATGCGCACATGATGTGATTTATTTGACTCAGGAAATGTACAAGTATTTTGCCGTGTACGGCCACTTTTTGAAGACGAAGGTTCATCAGTTGTTGAATATCCTGACAGTTTTACTGTTCGTGTCAATACTGGTGATGATAGTTCATCTAATCCTAAGAAGGATTTTGAGTTTGATAGAGTTTATGGTCCTCATGTTGGACAAGGTAATTATTATTATTTTTTGAAAAAAGCGATTTGCTTAGTTTTTGTATAACATGAGATTTTGCTAACTCATTTTATTTGTTGCAGCTGACCTTTTTAATGATATTCAGCCTTTTGTTCAGTCAGCTTTTGATGGATTTAATGTTTGTATATTTGCTTATGGCCAAACACACTCAGGGAAGACACACACCATGGTCTCTCTCTCTCTCTCCTAGTGTTCTTTGCTCTATGCATATTAGTAAAAAATTGATTGTGTCGTAGGTCAGCACATATTACACATTTAAATTTATAATTGTTATATCTTGTAAGTATGCTTGTATTTTCCAATAAGTGTAATCTGCAATGCTACATGTATTTTTTCGCAACTCTGTATTGAGTTTGACAATCAATTCCATGCTAAACGGCATTGAGCTCCACTGATTAACCTGAATTTCTGTATGTGACTAGCAATTTGATTGTCGTCATAGTTGTGACAAGTGATAAGTATCAAACGTTCCTGCAGGAAGGGTCTAGTCATGATCGTGGGTTATATGCTAGATGCTTTGAAGAGCTGTTCGATTTATCCAATTCAGATGCAACTTCCACATCTAAATTTAGTTTCTCAGCTTCACTCTTTGAGCTTTATAATGAACAGGTCACAGCTTCCAAGATCTTGTAGTATGCTGCCATTTCACTATTGATTATTTCTTCATTTGGCACTCTTGATTCTTCTTGCGAGTTAAGACTAGACAATCTCTTATTACAGATTAGAGATTTGCTTTTGGAATCTGGCAGTGATCGTCCAAAAATTGGCATCAAGTTACCAGATTGTGTTGTGGAACTTGTACAGGAAAAGGTGGAGAACCCATTAGATTTTTCAAAAATCCTCAAAGTAGGATTTCAGAATCGAGGAAGCAATACATCAAAGTTCAACGCCACTCATCTGTATGATCAATGTTTTTTCAAAGACAAATTTTTGCATTTAATTGTTCTTTTCGGTTGGTCTATTTTGGGATTTTTGTATACTAGCACATGCAAACTTTTGTAAAGCGAAAAGCGTCCAAAAGCGATGACCTTGTGCTTTGCTTAAAAGCGAAAGCGCTAAGCAAAGCGTGCTTAGCTTAGAAAATTAAAAGCAGTGCTTATTAAAATAGAAAATTAAAAGCAGTGCTTAAAAGCGAAAGCGCTAAGCAAAGCATGCTCACAAAAAGCAGTGCTTATAAAAATAGAAACTCAAAATATATAATGTATACTTAACCCAAAAATGCGTAAGTAGTCATAAAAGTCATTAAAAATAATACTAGTGCGCCATAAGTGAGAAAACATTCATCACACTATTATGCAAAAAATGCATAACTAATGATAAAAGTCATAAGAGTACTAGTGCGGCATAAAATAAAAACATCCATCACACAATGCCATAGTTTCATTAAAAACGGTTCTAATACAATGATTGGTTTATATAAAAATATACTACATATAATAATAATATCTTAATACTCTGTACATTTTACTTTTGAAAAGTCGCACATAAGACTAAAGTTTAGCTTTAATTATGGAACATAAAGCATAGACCCTGAATCCCCAATTCCTCATTCAGTAAAATAAAATTCATAAGCATTAAGCATTTATCAAAATTCACATGTTTATTACACTCCATCTTCTTCAAGTAAAATAAGCAATAAAGGAACTTTATTTAGTGGAATGCAATAATTAATCCGAGAACTAGTTTTCTGTAATAAGGCTGAAAGGTTTCAAACTAAAAAAACAGAGTAAAAGTGAGCTGAAGATTGACGAACGATGTTCAGTCTCAGGAGAGAGCAAACTATGGATGAAAGAGAATCTGCTGCTCACCGGCGAGGCGGCAATTTCTAGCCGAACGGAAGTCTGGGCAAACTCCCAATGATTTCTTCACCTGCGGCTTTGACTGGAGTGTGGAAAGAGTCAAATGACTCTAAACCTGATAACCCTAACTTCTAGCGACAAGCCGACCACACTAAAACTAAAAAAAAGACCAGCCAAATGACCGCTTTTTGTGAGAAGCTTTGCAAAGCGATCGCTTAAGTGAAAGGCAAGCTCACGAAAAGTGCCGGAAAAGCGCCGGAAAAGCTAGACTTTCTCATGGAGAGACACTTCTCAAAAGCCAGACGTAGGTCGCTTAATGACGCTGACCGCTTTTAACAAGTTTGAGCACATGTTTCTAGATAGGAGGTTACAAGTGCAATCTCCAGCTACCTCGTATTTACCCAAAATATATTTGTGATTCTACTTGCTCTTGAAATGCATGATGTATATTGTTATAGTGGTTGTTGGAATCATGTGGTTGTGGTCTGACACAATGAAGTAACCACCCATTGTCGAGGCATAAACTATGAGAAATTCGAGCAAGATTTGTATATCAAATTCAAAGAATATCACTACTCTCTCCGTCCCTTTATATTTGTTGCATTTTACCTTTTTCGTCCGTTCCACTAAGTTTTTCGCATACCATATTTGATAATATTTGGGTGGCTGCAATTCATTCCTACTTTATTCACACTTTACCACTTCAATACCAACCACACAATTCCACTTTTCTCATTAACCGCACCACTCCCACTCGCTCAATCTTAGGGGGATGGAGGTAGTACATATTATATTCATTGAACGTATTGCACTTAGAGAAAACACTAGCAGATGCACGATAGATGGTCTTGGTTTTCAGAGATCTCAAAGATTTGTTAGCTATAAAGTGATAAAGCAACTGATTAATACCAACCACACAATTTCACTTGTCTTATTTATCGTATAACTCTCTCTTGCCCCAATCTTAGGGGGACAGAGGTAGTACATATTATATTTATTGAATGTATTGCACTTAGACAAAACAATAACAGATGCAGAATAGATGGTCTTGGTTTTCAGAGATCTCAAAGATTTGTTAGCTATAAAGTGATAAAGCAACTGATTAATATTGCCATGAATCATGACTTGATTTTAAACAACTCTTCAAAGCTTTATTTAGATTTTAAGAAAGTTATATTCTACTGTCGTGTAGGCTATTACACATTGCTTTTTGACTTGCTTGTTGCACTTTATGCATTACTATTGCCTGCGTTTCTTTGGAAATATTATGGCTTGAGTATTACCAAATGGTGGTGCATGCTTTGCATCACTTGACCTTTTGTGCTTAGTTTGAACCTTCAATGCTAACTTCTGTTATTGTTTTCTGTTTTTCTCAATCTTAATGTTTTGGTGGGAATCATTTTCAGGATAATCTGCATACATATATATTATGAGAACTTGATCACTGGTGAGAATTATTGCAGCAAACTCTCTCTCATAGACTTGGCTGGAAGTGAGAGTGCAACTATAGAAGACGATACTGGGCTTCATGCAACAGAAGTGCTGTATGTAATGAAATCTCTATCAGCGTAAGTACTAAATAGTGCATGCGAGCTTATACAGTTATACTTATACCAGCATACCAGAGTTTATGATCCCTATGTTTAAGTCCAAGGTATTGCTATATATACCCATATTGGATTCCAACGCAATATTATCTGTAATAATCTGAGCCCTTTTAGTGAGATAAATTAGGCTGAATAGGCAAAATTTAATGAGATTGTGGTTGAATAAGTTGATTGGGCTGAACTTGCTCAGCTGGGTTGCATGGCTGAACATGCTCAGATGTACTGCAGTGCCAAACAGTAACTCCTAACGATCAAGAGAAGGAAAGGGCTTTGAAAATGTTTTTGCACACTTCACTGATTTACAAGAGCTGCTATTTATACTATTATTAAGGATGTCTATAAGCTAAGTAATAATACCATCTTAAATGATAAAGATATGTAACGATTTGTAACAGTCAATTACAATATTGTGTCTTAAATATGATTTATCTATTTCCTTCAATAACTCCCACTGCTCCTATTTATCTGTCCATTTTCAGAACATGCCTATTAAGATTTTTTGGTAGAATTAAATCAGTCACAAGTCACAACTGATTGTCTTCTTACCAAAGTTACCCTCATGTTTGAACTAACCAACATTTTATATTACATGATTATAATGTGTTCAATATTTAATTTTGAGGTAAACTGGAATTTTATTTAATGTTTCATGGTTTTTTAAATGGACAGATATAACGGAACACCAAAAACTCTAAAAATGGTTATTTAAATTAAAAAAATGGAGTAACTCTCTAAAGCACTTCCCACCGCAATTTTCCAAAGAGCTTTTCCAACAAGAAGCTTTTTTTAACCGCAGCCTCAATCCCAAACAAGGCGTCATTGCCTTAAGCTCTTTTTCAATGATTCTGAAACTATCAAGTCAATGTGAAAAATATAGTACTCCCTCCGTCCCAGCCTAAGATTCTCACTATGCTTTTTTGGATGTCCCAGCTAAAAGTTCCCATTTCTATTTTAGGAAATAATTAACACTCTTAAATGACAATTTCATCATCAAATATTAAAATAAATGCATCTATAACATCACGTTTGTCATCAACGACCCCATTATATTATATATCCATCAAAACTATTTCTCAAAATATACTCAAATTACCTTATTTAATTATTTTCTAAATACTGCTAGTAACAAGACTCAAACACTATACGTCATCACATCCAAAGGCAAAGACGTACCCTCCCTATCTCCAGCGGGCTATCCAGTTTCACAATAAATACAACTAATCGCTCTCAACAATTGTGGGGGTGCCAGCAAAAAAATGTTGACTCTTTCTTTCGTTCTTTGTCTTGTACTTTTTTTTAATTGAACTTTGGTTTTGTATTTTAAGTTTTTAATAAATTTAGAAAGTGTTCCTCGGCACTTTCCCCACTTCTAGTGGCTTCATTAGGATTTTTTTTTCTTTCTAAATACTGCAATGGGAACCTTAAGCCGGGACGGAGGTAGTAGTATTTAACACATGATATTTAGTGGAGAACAATCATTACATTGGTTTACAAATCATACCAGCTTGTCACAGGAAACTCATCCGTGACAAGCTGCTGTATTGTTGTGTAATTTATTGATTGTACATGCAGATTAGGGGATGTTTTGAATTCCTTGACCTCAAAGAAGGACAATGTTCCATATGGAAACTCGATGCTTACTAAGTTATTTTCAGACTCATTAGGTATGTAACTGATTCATTCTCTGGCTGGCGAAGAGTGAGACTTAGTGTGATACAATGCCTTTTTTTTAATCCCAACCATCATTCATGAGTATAAGCACACATAAGTTGCATACCGACCATAAACTAGTTGGTATGCATTGGGTTAGTTATTAACCCTGATGCCTGTGGACACCTTTCTCAAAACCCAACCGTCTTTCATTAATAGATTCACATATATTTGCTTTCGTTGAAATTGCATATTGTTAAGGGCACAGTTATTTTTTTTCTCATAATATGTTAAGGGCACACTTGCAAGACCTTGTCCAAGAATGACAGAAGAGTGGCAGGGATTTTGAGTTGAGGGAAACGGGAAGATTTGGATTGTGAAAGACATTAGAATATACTTTAGAATATACTTTAGAATATTCTTCTATCCTTAGAATATACTTTAGAATATTTTAGGAATATACTCTAGGATATTATTATTGTATAGAATCTTATAGGAATATTCTATCTTTGTAATGTATATTTATAGGGACTTAACCCTCCAATGAAATACACAGAAAATCTTTCCTCCTCTCTTCAATATTATATTTTGTAGTTTATATTTCAACATGGTATCAGAGCCTTCCATTTCAGTTTAGTTTTTCAGATTTCAGTTCTTTATTCAGGCTGATTTCAGTTCAGTATTCAGGCTGGGTTCTTTCTCCAAGAACTTGAGTTAACTTCAGAACCTTACACACCATTTTCAGAACCTTACACACCATTCTGCCTACAGAACCTCTACACACCATTAAACAGAACCTCTGTCCAGAACCTTTGTCCAGACCAACACCGTCCTATTTCTCACCTCCGTCCTAACCAATTGCACTTGCCGCCGCCGACCACGTCTTTGGAGTCGCCACTATCATTAGCTGGTAAGTCAGAAACCCAGACCTCGCCAACCATCTATTGAGCTGCGGCTGGTAAGTCTTAATTAGCTGTATTTATTTATTTATTCTCAAAAAAAAAAGTAAAAAAAAAAAATAAAAAAAAAATCAAATCAAAAAAAAAAAAATCAAAAAAAAAAATGTCTTTTACGGGTCCATTTGGTAGAGGAGTAATATGCCATTACTGCAAGAAGCCCGGGCACTTGCTCAAAGAATGTAGAAAGTTGCTGTTCAAAAATCAAGGAAATCAGCTTGCTCATGTTGCTTCCGCTACGAGTTCATTTGATGGATCAATTGCCATTTCTTCAGACGAGTATGCTAAATTTATTTGCTTCCAAGAATCTCTAAAGCATTCATCTACCCCTATCTCGGTAGTCGCAAATTCAGGTATTTCAAACACATGTCTTGTTTCATCATCCTCAAAATGGGTCATTGACTCAGGTGCCACAGATCATATGACTGGTAATCCTAGTCTATTCTCATCATTTCACTCACATTTACCTGCTTCCAGTGTCACTTTAGCAGACGGGTCTACCTCACCCGTTCTTGGATCTGGTACTGTTGTACCAACTTCTACATTACCATTATCGTCTGTTTTGAGTCTTCCTAATTTTGCATTTAATCTGCTTTCCATCAGTAAAATCACACGTACTCTTAATTGTTCTGTAACATTTTTTCCGGGATATTGTGTGTTTCAGGATCTGTTAACGAAGCATACTATTGGTCAAGGACATGAATCGGGTGGTCTTTATATTTTGGATACATCAATTACAAAAGGTATCTCTTGCCTTGGGGTTGGAAATCTATTAGAAGCTCATTACCGATTAGGACATCCATCTCTCTCACTAATGAAGCAATTATATCCTCAGTTTAATAAGGTGTCTTCTATACAATGTGAGTCGTGTGAGTTTGCTAAACATCATCGCACTAGTTTAAGTCCCCGACTTAATAAACGAGCAAATGCTCCGTTTGATCTTGTCCATACTGATGTTTGGGGGGCATGTCCAGTTGTGTCCAAACCTGGTTTCAAATATTTTGTCACTTTTGTTGACGATTATTCTCGTATGACATGGGTGTATTTTATGAAGCGCCGATCCGAGTTATTTACTCATTTCTCTGCATTTTGTGCTGAAATTAAAACTCAATTTAATGTTCCTGTTCGTGTGTTAAGGGGAGACAATGCCCAAGAATATTTATCTGCTCCATTTAAATCTTTTATGCTTCAACATGGCATTATTCATCAAACTTCATGCGTAGACACACCTCCTCAAAATGGAGTTGCTGAAAGAAAGAATCGACATCTGTTAGAAACTGCAAGGGCTCTTCTATTCCAAATGAATGTGCCTAAACAGTTTTGGGCTGACGCTGTGTCTACTTCATGTTTTTTGATCAATCGTATGTCATCTTCTGTTTTGGATGGTAAAACTCCTTATCAATGTCTTTTTCCAAATAAAGAACTTTTTCCTATTCCACCTAAAATATTTGGTTGCACTTGTTTTGTTAGAGATGTTAACCCTCATCGGACGAAATTGGACCCCAAGTCATTGAAATGTATTTTCTTGGGTTATTCTCGAGTTCAAAAGGGGTATAGATGTTTTTGTCCAAGTACAGGTCGATATCTTATTTCTATTGATGTCTCATTTCATGAAAATACACCATTTTCATCATCCAAGACAGATATTCATGAGGACAACGATGAAATACTCATTTACACAGTTACTATACCTGAGACCACACCTTCAGTAACTATGTCGAATGTCACTGTTCCTGACCCTAGACCTCCTGTACACTTGGTTTACACCCGTCGACACAAAGCACAAGATCACTCCCCACCTGTGACACCTGTGATTACATATCCTGATACTGGTCCGACTTCGATCTCATGTCCTGAACCAGTACCTGCATCTTCAGATCTTGTCTCTACATCTGATCTTGACCTCCCGATAGCACTACGTAAAGGTACACGGTCTTGTACTCATCCTATTTCCTCATTTGTGTCATACAGTCAGTTATCTCCTGCCTCATGTTCTTTTGTTGCTTCCATTGATTCTATTTCTGTTCCCAAATCTGTTAAAGAAGCTTTGTCTCATCCTGAATGGCGTCATGCCATGGTAGAGGAAATGAATGCTTTGGATCTTAATGGTACTTGGGATTTGGTATACTTGCCTTCAGGGAAGAAGTCTATTGGATGTAAGTGGGTCTTTACTGTTAAGGTTAATCCAGATGGATCTGTTGCTCGATTGAAAGCTCGATTGGTTGCAAAGGGTTATGCTCAAACCTATGGTGTTGATTATTCTGACACTTTTTCTCCTGTTGCTAAATTAACATCTGTCAGGTTACTTATCTCACTCGCTGCAACTCATGATTGGCACTTACACCAGTTGGACATTAAAAATGCATTCTTACATGGTGACCTTCAGGAGGAAGTTTATATGGAGCAACCTCCGGGATTTGTTGCTCAGGGGGAGTATGGGAAAGTTTGTCGACTTCGCAAATCTCTTTATGGTCTGAAACAGAGTCCTCGTGCATGGTTTGGGAAATTCAGTCAATCCATTGAACGGTTTGGAATGATAAAAGGTCAATCAGATCACTCTGTCTTTTACAGAAAAACGAAAGCAGGTATCACATTGCTTGTGGTGTATGTCGATGATATTGTGATTACAGGAAGTGATACCGCAGGTATTTTGGCCCTTAAGAATTTTCTTCATAGCCAATTCCAAACAAAAGACCTAGGCTCATTGAAATACTTTCTGGGTATTGAGGTAACACGGAGTAAGAAAGGCATATTTCTATCTCAGCGTAAATATGTACTTGATTTACTAACTGAAACAGGGAAATTGGGAGCAAAGCCAAACACAACTCCCATGGTTCCCAATGTGCGACTCACTTCAGAAGGCATACCTTTCGAAGACCCAGAAAGGTACAGAAGATTGGTTGGAAAGCTTAACTATCTCGCAGTCACTCGTCCAGACATTGTTTACTCTGTGAGCGTAGTGAGTCAATATATGTCATCTCCAACAGTTGATCATTGGAATGCAGTAGAGCATATATTATGTTACTTGAAGGGGACACCAGGTAGAGGTATTGTTTACCAAAATCATGATCACATGAGAATAGAATGCTTTGCAGATGCTGATTGGGCTGGATCTAAAGATGATAGGAGATCCACATCTGGCTATTGCGTCTTTGTTGGTGGTAATCTCGTCTCTTGGAAAAGTAAGAAGCAAAATGTGGTTTCTCGTTCGAGTGCTGAATCAGAATATCGGGCTATGGCACAATCGGCATGTGAGATAATCTGGATAAACCATTTGCTGAGTGAAATCGGATTGAAGACACCAATGCCTGCTAAACTCTGGTGTGATAACCAAGCTGCTATACACATTGCCAACAACCCAGTGTTTCATGAGAGAACAAAACATATTGAGGTCGATTGTCACTTTGTTCGAGAAAAGATACAACAAGGATTGATCTCTACAGGATATGTGAAGACTGGAGAGCAACTTGGAGATTTGTTCACTAAAGCATTAAATGGAATTCGTGTTGGTTATTTATGTAACAAGTTGGGCATGATAAATATCTATGCTCCAACTTGAGGGGGAGTGTGAAAGACATTAGAATATACTTTAGAATATACTTTAGAATATTCTTCTATCCTTAGAATATACTTTAGAATATTTTAGGAATATACTCTAGGATATTATTATTGTATAGAATCTTATAGGAATATTCTATCTTTGTAATGTATATTTATAGGGACTTAACCCTCCAATGAAATACACAGAAAATCTTTCCTCCTCTCTTCAATATTATATTTTGTAGTTTATATTTCAACATGGATCTATCTTGTACTTATTAACTGGGAGAGATAAATAATTAAAAAGGCTTAATGGAATTAATCTGATTCTAACCTAGTGAAGATATCCCTATGATGCTTTAAAAGCTACTTATTAATTTAACTAAGAACCCCTTATATTGATATTATAGAATTCTTAAACTGAGAGGGGAAGATATAATTGTATTATGACTCTAGCAAGGGAAATTAAATAAAACTAGAATTAGTTAATACTACTAATAATAGGTAAGGAAGTCTCAGACTGCTTGCTTTGTATGCAAGTCAGTCATGTGGATGCAAGTCAATTCTGTAGATTTGGTTTCTTCCTCAACCACATTGGGCGTCAGATCCATTTTTTCTCATCATTTGGCTTCTTTGTTGATACTTAAAACTATGTTAACATCATATTTCAATATCCATTCACCACATTTTCGACACATGTAATACCTCAGATGCACTATTCAATTTACTTTTTTGATCAAACTCAATAACTCACACTGGTCAAACTCATAGATACTGTGGATTTCTAAAAGTCTCCTATGATTTGGGTCCCTTGTCGTATTTATTTGTAAGGCAGTTACTTATTTCCATGAATTACTAATTGCCTTGTCACCTTCTTCTGTTTAAAAAGTGCCCATTAATAGCTTATCACTGTACATGGCTTAATGCAGGCGGAGATTCAAAGACAGTATTGGTTGTCAATCTTTGTCCAAATGCTTTAAATTTGTCTGAGACATTGTCATCCCTCAATTTTTCTGCAAGAGCTAGGAGTGCTGTACTAAGTCTTGGAAACTGGGATACCATCAAGAAATGGAGAGAGATCGTAAGTTATTTTAAATGTTTAAATGTCCTCTCTTTTGATTGGTAGGCTGAAATTCGTTGGGTTTGACCCTCTATTTAGTTAAAGTTATTCTACATATCTCTCCATTTTCTACATCATCTTCCTTGCTACTTGGTGTGGTAGGTTGATACTGTAATTACTGTCTCTCTGGGAGGCGGACTTTCCTTTGTTCTCTTTTTCTTTTGGCTTTATCACCCAATCAAATTTAGGGAGTTTTTAAAAAGGCAGCCTGAAGTGTAAAAGGTCTTGGCATTTCCCATTTAGAGTTTAGCTGATTCAATCTGAATTGTTCGCTCAAACTTTAGTTCTTCTGTGTATTAACTATGTTGAAGTTTTATGAATTACTGAATTATATTTGTTGTTTTAAACTTTAGGCAAATGATGCTCGCAAGGAACTCTATGAGAAGGAGAAAATAATATGTGATCTGAAAAAGGAAATTATTGGACTAACACAGGATCTGAAACGTGCCAACGATCAGTGTGTCCTACTATTCAATGAAGTTCAGAGTGCTTGGAAAGTTTCTTATACTCTCCAGTCAGATTTAAAGGTTTTGTTTTTCTTGCAGCATTTTCCCTTGCAATGTTTAACGGAAACTTGGATGCTCATATGTGATTATGTGCCTTTTGACTTAAATATCCTGTGTCTGTTGACCATGAAAAACAGGACCATGTTTACATAAAATTTCCATGCCATATTCTTGCCTTCTTAGAATGGGAGCCTTGGCGTACCGGTCATGAGTTTAAGTCTACGAGTGGCCTCGTGTCAAAATGAGCAAAAAGACCAGTCAGATCGCTCTCTCTTTTATAGATGAACAAAAGCTGACATTACATTGCTTGTGGTTTATGTCGATGATAGCCACGACAACAACATCCAAGCCTTATTCGCAAAAGATTTTGGGATTGGCTAACATGAATCGATCCATGATATCAAAGTCAATAGGAGAAGAAAGATAAGAAAAATAAAAAGATAAGGCAAGATAAAATGGATAAGATAAAGATAAATATAAGATAAAAATAACATAAGAACATCATCATCATAAGAAAAGATAAAATATAAAAATAACATAAGAAAATAGAAAGATAAAGAAGATAAAAAGATAAAATTAAAAGAGAGAGAAAAGAGAGAAATGGGATTAATCGCCCACACGAATATGATTGGCTACCAGTCTACCAGATTACAAGGAGTGATAATGCACATATTTTGGTCCTTAAGAGTTTTCTTCATAGCCAATTCCAGATGAAAGATCTAACCTCATTGAAATACTTCTTGGGTATTGAGGTAACACCGAGTAAGAAAGACATATTTCTATCTCAACAAAAATATGCACTTGATTTGCTAGCTAAACAAGGAATTTGGGAGCAACACCAAGCAATACTCCCATGGTTCCCAATGTTCAACTCATCCAAGAAGGCATGTTGTTCGAAGACCCAAAAAGATATAGAGGATTGGTCGGATTTTAATTATCTCACTGTCACTCGTCTAAATATTTCTTACACTGTGAGTGTATTGAGTCAATGTATGTCATCTCCAACCATTGATCATTGGGCTCCTGCAGAACACATGTTATGATACTTGAAGGGAGAATTGGGACAAGGTATTGCTTATCAAAACTATGGTCATATGGATAAGTCGTTTATGGGGTGAAATTGGATTGAACACCAATGCCTGCTAAATTGTGGTGTGATAATCAAGCTGCTATACACATAGTGAATAATTCACTATTTTATGAGACAAGGAATCATATTGAGGTTGATTGTCATTTTATTTGAAAGAAGGTAAAGATGGATTGATCTCTCCTAGATACATGAAGAAGTGAGAATAACTTGGAAATTTATTCAGTAAACACACTAAATGGGATTCAAGTTGATTATTTATGTAATTAGTTGGACATGATAAATTTCTATGCTGCTGCTAGGTTACTAGCTAATTTCAGATAAAGAAAGATGAAGAAAGAGTGAACAGTCTCAAGAAGGTCGATTAACAGAGAAGAAAGAGAAATACAAAGGCAGTTAGAGAACGCCAGCTCCCAATATCCCACGCCTAAGATAATACCAGCCTCCCTTCTAATCTCCTCTCAGCCTCTATTTATACTCACTCTAATATTATCATTATCATTATTATTAGTCTACCCGAGTCCCTATCATTACTCCCCCTTTGACAACCACTCTGGCCAATAGCTTCATTTTTGCACCTACCTCTTCCTTCCCAGTACACCACTGCTTTCTTTACTGTAGGTTCGGTGCATGAACTTTCAAAATCACAGTTGCTATTGCAGCAGGTGTCTCTATTGACCTTCCATTCACTTCAGTAGCCTTAAAGTCCTCCAGAGTGATAAAGTAACATTGCTTGTAACCCTTCTCTGCATTTTCTTGCAACATTGCATCTGATTTCCCAGAAAAGGAGTAAGCATGGTTCTCTGTTGCCTCTGGACCAGTCCTACTTTTACCCATGTGCAACAGGTAGTCAAAACCTACACCTCCTCCTTGCATAGGTATACAAACTGATGGCAGTCCCCTGACCTCTTCACCAACGATACTGGCATCTGGGAAGTGACCAAGATTGAGATCCTTAACAAACTTCCCATACATGTCAGCTTCAACACTAATAACACATCCAACAGCTTCTGTAATATTCCCAGCAATTCCCCCTCCCAACCCACTTAGATTATACATAATATAAGTAATGCCAAAAATTCTGACGCTATCAAACTTGTCCAACTTATTCCATGTAATATGTGACGAATGACCGCCCCCCATATCCATCCGAACATCCAATCCAGGTTCAAGAACTCTACCAATTCAAGATTTAAAATCTTCTAGGTTACGGCGTAAGGCATTATCATGCCTCCAGGCATCGTAAGTAAGGATATCTGATTTGTGAGCATGGGAACCTTCCACAGTATCTGATAAAAATTCTGGAGGATGACTAACCTCCACTTCATGGTCTGATTCCTTAACTGTTGGTGCAGCCCGTTTCAACTCAGTTTTTGATTCCAGAGAAACTTGCGCAAGTTGAGAAGCTGTGCAAGAATAGGCCAGCAACTGAGCTGGTGATTTCTGACTGCGACTCAGTGTGCAAACTGGAGATCTCCACCTCTGGTGAAGTTGATCACGACTTCGAACTGTAAGAAATGGTTAGCGATGAAACCTGTGAACAGTGAGAAGTTGTTTGCGATGGGTCCTGCGAACTTAGTGGGTGAGACGAAATCTGCGATGACGATTGGTGAGGACAGTAATGTTGAGCATTGCTCCTTGAGGTTCTTGATATTCTTCGGTCACGTAGAGTGTTCTGCTGCAGGATCAATTCGCGCAGCTCTGCGAAGCCATTTCGCACTTCATCGCGAGTCTTCTGCACTTCATTGCTAGTCTTCCGCACTTAACCGCGAGTCTTCCACATCTCCTTGCGGTTTTGTTCCAATTTGCGCTTCAAACTCTCAAGTTTACTTTCCATCATTATTCTTGTTGCGCCTATGAACAGGTAACAAGAACTTCTCTGATACCAATGTTAGGTTACTAGCTACTTTCAGATAAAGAAAGATGAAGAAAGAATGAACAGTCTCAAGAAGGCCGATTAACAGAGAAGAAAGAGAAACACAAAGGCAGTTAGAGAATGCCAGCTCCCCAATGTTAGGTTACTAGCTAATTTCGGATAAAGAAAGATGAAGAAAGAGTGAACAGTCTCAAGAAGGTCGATTAACAGAGAAGAAAGAGAAATACAAAGGCAGTTAGAGAATGCCAGCTCCCAATATCCCACGCCTAAGATAATACCAGCCTCCCTTCTAATCTTCTTTCAGCCTCTATTTATACTCACTCCTCTAATATTATCATTATTAGTCTACCCGAGTCCCTAGCAGCTGCAACTTGAGAGAGTGAAATATTTAGAATAAATGTAGGAATATGCTTGGTTCGTGAAATTCTGTGTTCCTTGGTGTAAGCATTGTAAAAACTTGAGAACATTATGGGAAGATTTAGGAAAGGCAATAGGAGAGGACGTGATAGAGGTTGGAGAGGTTGATTATGGCACAACTAGATCAGTTTGTCAAAAGGTCGATATCCATTCTTATTCAACATTCAAGCTCTTTTACAATGGAGAAGAGGTTGCTAAATATCAATGGCCAAGGGACGCGGAAAAGCTGAAATTGTTTGCATTAAAAGAAAAAACAAAGGCGGAAAGAAAAGCTGAAAGTGATGAGGACCATTCTTGTCACGACGGTAAGGCAAGTCACGGCGCCATCCGACCGCCATATTGCCTAGGCGGCAAGGCGCCCGCCTAGGCGACAATTAGGCGATTTGTCACACAATATATATAATTATATTTTATATATAACAATATAACATTCTATTTAACTGTATTTAATTTGTAATGTAATTATATATTATATATGATATATATTAAGAATGCAATTTTATATTGCCTAATAATTTTTTAATATATTAATACACCTAATTGATTAATATACAAGTTATTAATTTCAATATTAATATACCTAATTTATTAATTTATTAATATACAAGCTATGCATTGCTAATATATACTGTAGTGTGTATCTATACATACTGTATAGTGTGTACGAAAGACACATATATTATATTAAAATTAAACTATGTAAAATTGTAGACTTGTAGTGGATATACTACTTAGTGGGTACGAAGTATTAATATTACTACTCCGTATTTAATATTAATATATAATGGACTAAAGTGATAAGATGTTAGGAGTAATGTAAATATATAATATACGCACGAGCATTGTAAATAGAATTACACTTTCCAGGTGTTACTATGAGTTGTTAATAGAAAGATAATATGAACTGAAATGGAATCATCTTAATGATTTCAGAGAAGAGTACAAGTATTTATAGTCGTCAAGCCTATAACTAACTCATAACAAACTCAAACAACTATAACCAAGCTATCCGGTTCTAATCTGCTATAACAGAAACTTATTACAAAACTGACATGTACAATATTCCTAACATTCCCCCCTCAAAGTTAGGGTGATTGTTTTGGACATTCAATCACACTAAGTTTGGTTCTCAAATCAAGAAAAGAAGTGGATGACAATAGCTTGGTGAGAACATCAGCTACTTGATGAAGAGCTGGAACATGATAAACTGCAAGCTGCTTGGACTGAACCTTTTCTCTCACAAAGAAGAGATCAATTTCCATGTGTTTTATGCGAGAGTGAAGAACTGGATTATGAGCTAGCTGTACTGTACTGAGATTATCACAATAAACTTTGGGAGTTTGGAAAGGAATCTGGAGTTCCTGAAGCAAAAACTGGACCCATAGCAGTTCAGATGTAGTATCTGCTAGACTTCTGTACTCAGCCTCAGCTGAGGACCTTGCTACACGCTACTACTTCTTGGACCACCAAGAGATGATGTTAGATCCCAGAAAAATACAGGATCCAGATGTGGATCTCCTGTCAACTGGGTCAGAGGCCCAGTCAGCATCACAAAATGCTGAAATTGGTAGAGAGTGAATACTCTGTGGAATAGGTTTGATGATGATGCCATGGGTGATGGTTCCAGAAAGGTACCTCAGAATGTGTTTGACAGCTTTCCAATGATCTTGTAGAGGTGTGGCCATGAACTGACATACTTTGTTGACAGCAAAGCTTATTTCTGGTCGTGTTAGAGTAGCATATTGCAATGTTCCAACAACAGATCTGTAGATAGAAGAATCAGGTAATGGTTCACTCCCTTGATTTGAGAGCTTGCAACTACTGATCATAGGAGTTTTAACTCCTTTGGAGTCTGTCATGCCAACCTGATGAAGTAAGTCTCTAATATATTTAGTTTGGGATAGATGAAGACTTCCATTTGGGAGTTTTTTGACTTCTATCTCTAGGAAGTAATCAATCTCCCCTAGATTCGTAAGAGAAAATGAGGAGTGTAGTTTCTGAATAAGCTGTTGAATAGCAACAGAGTTATTTCCAATTACCAGTATGTCATCTACATAGATAAGAATGTAGATTTGAACTCCTGATTCCTGAAAGATGAGAAGAGAGGGGTCACATCTGCTTTGTCTAAAACCAGCCTTGTACAAGACAGAAGTAAGTTTGTGAAACCAAGCTCTTGGAGCTTGTTTGAGCCCATAAAGGGACTTGTGCAATCTGCAAACAAGAGAAGTATCTTTAGCCTGAAAACCTGGAGGTTGCACCATATAAACCTCCTCTTCCAATTCTCCATTTAGAAAGGCATTATTTACATCAAGCTGCTGAATGATCCAATTATGAGACACTGCAAGTGTGAGAAGAACTCTAATGGTGACTGGCTTAACAACTGGAGAGAATGTTTCACTAAAGTCAAACCCATATCTTTGATGAAATCCCTTAGCTACTAATCTTGCTTTGAGTTTATTTAGTGAATCATCTGAGTTCTCTTTAACTCTGAACACCCATTTACAGCCCACTGCCTGCTTGCCAGGTGGTAGAGGAACTAAAGACCATGTCTGGTTCTTAATCAAAGCATCATATTCAGACTTCATTGCTGCAAACCAACTGGGAGATGAGAGAGCTTGCTTGACTGAGTTAGGCTCCGTATGGGATAACAGCAAAGTAGGATTCAGTCTTGGTTTTACAATGCCAGATTTTGCTCTAGTAGTCATAGTATGATGTTAGGAGTATTGTAAATAAATAATATACGCACGCCCATTGTAAATAGAATTACACTTTCCAGCTGTTACTATGAGTTGTTAGAGCTGTTAGAAAGTCTGTTAGAGTTTGTTATAGCTACTCTACTATAAATATGTGTACTGACTCTTGTGATGAATAAGATTGCTTTTTCTTCCTTTCCATGTGTGTTCACTTTCTATTATGGTATCAGAGCTCTAGCTCGATCTACCATGCCGGAAACTGCTCTACTTCATCTTCAACCTCAGATACTGGAAGTATTACCTTTCCAGTAGCATTCTCTCATCCTCTTCCAATCAAATTGGATTCGAATAACTACCTTCTGTGGAAACATCACATTGAGAATTCACGCACACAATTTCCTCCATTTTATTGAGAATTCAAAAATTCCTGAGCAATTCATCACCGGTGACGATGGAGAAACTGTGAATGAAGCATATATTGTCCGGGAGCAACATGATCAAATGTTATTTTCATGGATGCTTTTGTCTCTATTAGAAACCCTCCATGCTCGTGTCATTCATTGTCAACGATCGTATGAACTCTGGAGCACGAATCACAATTTATTCCAGGCTAACATCGTCGCTAGGGCAAGACAGTTTAAATCTGAACTCTACAACACTGGAAAATGAGAACGATCTGACTCAGAGTACCTGCTTTGAATTCAGACCATCGTTAACAATCTTATTCTCGTTGGCGAACCGATATCTATTGGGCTAACCTCATGTGGGAGTCACTGTTTCAACAAAGCGTGGGTAGGAGTCCGAGACCCCCAGAGTGACCATCCTTCGTCCTATAGTTTAGTTGTACCTTTTGAACCTAGGGTCACATTCAAAATATGAGTGTTGCAGAGATGCGCATGCTACGTTGGATATGTGGACATACTAGACAGGATCACATGGGGAATAAGACAATCAGACTAAAGGTGGGAGTAACACCTATTGAAGATAAGATGCAGGAGTCTCGCTTGTGGTGGTTTGGTCATGTGCGTAGAAGACCGAGTGATGCACCCGTCAAACGAGTTGAGATGTGTGGAGAAGAGGCAGGGAAGAGAGGGAGTGGAAGCCCCAAACAGACGTGGATTAGAGGAGTCATAAGTGATATGCTTCTACTTGGGTTGGATGATGATATGACTCTGGAGAGAGCAAAGTGGAGGACGAGTATTCGTGTGAAGGAGTGATCTGTTATCATCTTTTCCTCCTTATCTTCTTTTTCTTGCTTGTTTTTTTATCCTTTTATCTTTATATATATATAAATATGATCCTTTTTATTATATCATTTTTATGTATATACATCTCTTTTTATTTTATCTTTTTTTTATTATAGCTTATCTTTTTATCTTTCTTATCTTTCTTTTCCTTTTGGTTACGATACCATGCATCGATTCATGTTAGCCGACCCCAAAATCTTTTGGGACTAAGGCTTGGATGTTGTTGTTGTATTCAAATTTCAAATTTGCATCATTTGCTGGAAACATGTAGAGCCATAGACACAAAAACACGGAATGTGAATTTTGCTGCCTGCCATCAAGAGTGGTATTTAGATTGGACAATGATTGTAATTTACTTTTTTTCCTTTTCTTTTCCTGGCCCTTTATCCTCGATACTTATCATTAAATTTGTTCTTCTTGTGGAAACAGTTTAGAGATCACATTTTATTAAATGAATCATTTTTTCCACTTCCATGATTATTCCCGTATCTCAATTAGTCCTTAATTTGAACATGGGAAGGTTCAGATCGACATGCAAAGATGTTTAGCTAGGTAATGGTTGAAATATTCTTGAAAAAAAAATCTAAGATAATATTATGCTATAGAATCTTATAGAAGTATCCTATCTTTGTAATGTATATTGATAGGGACTTGAGCCATCAATAAAGACATAAATCCTTTCTTCTTCAAAATTATTCTACTTTATACTTTCCTCTTTAACCATTAGCTTCTTTATTTTTTGCATTTGACTCAGGCTGAGAATATAATGCTTGTTGATAAGCATGAGATAGACAAGGAACACAATTCACTACTTAGAAGTCAATTGGCTGAACTTTTGCAGTTGGAGCAAGAGCAGAAGATGCAAATAAAACAATGTGATTCCACTATCCAAACACTTCAGGTTTACCCAATGCTTTACAAACATCTTATATATTCTTCTAGTAGTTTGAAGTCTAAGCTACTGTTTCCTCTTTTCCATGAATAATACTTTTTAAATTTCTGGTACAATATTCATGTGAAAGATGATGTACTACTTTTTGAGAATGGAAGAGGGGATGGACCCAAAAATGTGATGTCAGATTTTGAGGTCAAACATGATGTTCACAAAGTTATTAATAATTACTAGTATAATAATTTTTTGAGATTTATTATCGATAGAACTTATTGAAACAGTACATCCTTGTATTTACAGGAAATTAATTTCAATGGAAGAGACACCTAAGAAGTGTCTGTCTAGAAACTTTAGGCAACTTTGAAGACACTAAACAAATTGAATAATTCTAAACTGAACAAGCACTAGTGACTATTAATTATTACACACCGAATAGACTTTAAAGACTCATAATTACATACGTAGTAAATAATAAAGATTTTTTTCCTAGACTAATGGTGTCTCTTCGGTAAGTGAACAAACACACCAACACTCCCCCCTGAGCTAAGTTGTAGGTATCCGTCATGATTAGCTTAGAGATAAGACCCTGAAACCAAGGACTGTGAAGAGGAGGTATAGTAAACACATCTGCGACTTGATCCTCTGAGTGTAGCCTAGTTCAATCATACCTCTTTCAACCTTCTCTTTGATGAAGTGTTAGTTAATTTCAATATGTTTGGTACGATCATGCTGGACATGATTATAAGCTATGTTTATTGCTGATTTGTTATCACACTTCAACCTCCTTTGTTTCCTTCCATTTCATTCGTAAATTAGAAAGAATAATTCTGACTCATAAAAGTTCACTCAGGCATGGGCACATGCTCCTAGTTTAGATTCAGTAGATGAGTCTGCCACAACATTCCGTTTCTTGCTTCTCCAGGTCACAAGATTTCATAAGAAAGTTCAAAATCAGTAGTTGATGCCATAATCTGCATCAATGAAGGCTTCAATTTATAACTGTCCCCTCTTGTTGAACTGGAATTCTTGTTGTGGACTTCCCTTTAAGTAGTGTAGAACCCCTTTTAGATGCAATTTTCTTGGGTCATGCATGAGCTGACTTAGGACATTAATCGCATAGTCAATGTCAGGTCATACCAGGAGAAATAGATAAACTTGCTACACAGACATTGATATATCGTTGAATCAACCTTGGGATCATCAGTAGTAAGGCCAAACTTATGATTGGGATTCATTGGTGCAATAACAGATCAACAAACATCCTTACCACTTTCACTCAACATATCTGTAATGTACTTATGTTACTTATGTTGCTGATAAAGATGCCTTCGTATGAACAAGCAACTTCAATTCCAAGAATGTATTTGAGAGGGTTGAGAGCTTCGCTCACAAGTATTGACTTCCATGCCAACCTTAGGTTGCCTTCTTCACCGCCGCTAGGGATCTTCCATTGCACAAGCTTCCACTTGTTTGGCTATGCATTCACGAGTTTATTTTCAGTTTTTGGAATTTTTTAAAACGAGTAAAAGGTCAGATTGGTCCTCGAACTTGCATAAAAAGGGTCAAATAAGTCCTTATATAGGAGTCTCTGTCCAGACGTCGCCATTTGGGGAGTGTGAAATATAAGATTGTATTCATTATACTTCATATGAAATCCTATACAAGAAGCTATATTTATAGCTATATTTAGAGTATTAGGGTTTCCTATACAAGATATACAAATGGGCTAAGCCCAATACTACTAGGGTTTCCACACTCCCCCTCAAGCTGGAGCATATAAATCATATGTACCAAGCTTGTTACAAATATATTCCACTCTAGGACCTCTAAGAGACTTAGTTAAAATATCTGCAAGTTGTTCAGTTGTGTTCACATATTTTGTGATGATATGTCCACTCGTGATCTTCTCTCGGATAAAATGACAATCAACTTCTATATGTTTTGTCCTCTCATGATATACCGGATTTGATGCGATGTGCATTGCAGGCTTGCAGCTTGATTATCACACATGAGTTGAACCGGTTTTGTGTTTCCATATTTTAACTCTTGGAGGAGATGCTTCAACCATAAGATTTCACATGTAGCAAGGGCCATTGCACGATATTCTGCTTCAGCACTAGATCTGGCAACCACATCCTGTTTCTTACTTTTCCATGAAATTAAGTTTCCACCAATCAAGATGCAATATCCCGAAGTGGAACGTCTATCCATCGGACATCCGGCCCAGTCTGCATCACAGTATCCCACAATATCATGGTGGCCTCGATCTTCAAACAACAATCCTTGCCCTGGAGTTTTCTTGATGTATCTCAAAACTCGGATAGCTGCATCCCAGTGTCCAGTACATGGCTTATCAAGAAACTGACTAAGAACACTTACCGCAAATGAAATATCTGGTCTTGTGATGGTAAGATAATTCAATTTGCCGATGAGTCTTCTATATTGTTCCTTGTTGGGCAAAAGATCTCCCTGTTCTGATAAGAGTTTAACGTTCGGATCCATTGGTGTATCCACTGACCTGCAATCTAGCAAACTTGTTTCTTCAAGAATATCCAAGGCATACTTTCTTTGTGAGAGAGCAATTCCATCTTGAGACTGTGCGACCTCAATGCCAAGGACGTATCTCAACTTTCCCAAGTCTTTTGTTTGAAATTTGCTAAACAGATGTTGCTTGAGGAGCGCAATTCCTTGATCATCGCTACCTGTAATGACAATGTCATCAACATACACAACAAGATAAATACATTTGTTGCCAGCAGAATGTCTGTAGAATATAGAATGATCAACATCACTGCGAATCATGCCAAAGCTGCAGACAACGGCACTGAACCTCCCAAACCATGCACGTGGAGATTGCTTCAAGCCATATAATGAACGACGTAATATGCACACCATACCAGACTCCCCCTGAGCAACAAATCCAGGTGGTTGCTCCATATAAACTTCCTCGTGCAGATCTCCGTGAAGGAATGCGTTTTTAATATCCAATTGGAACAATGGCCAACGGCTCATTGCTGCCATGGATAAAACCAAACGAACTGATGCAATCTTCGCTACAGGAGAAAAAGTGTCAGTGTAATACAACAACAACAACAACAACATCCAAGCCTTAGTCCCAAATGATATTGGGGTCGGCTAACATGAATCGATATATGATATCACATTATCACCAAAAGGAAAAGAAAGAAAATAAAGATAAAAAAGATAAGCTATTATAAAAAAAGATAATATAAAAGAGATGAATATACATATAAAAGATCAAATAAAAAGGATAAAGTAATATTTATATATAAGGATAAAGATATAAAAGAAAAGGAAAAAGAAAAAAAGAAAAGAAGAAGAAGAAGAAGAAGAAGAAGAAAAAAAGATGATACAAGATCACTCCTCAACACGAATACCCGCCCTCCATTTTGCTCTCTCCAAAGCCATACCCTCATCCAATCCAAGAAGAAGCATATCACTTCTGACTCCCCTAACCCACGTCTGTTTGGGCCTTCCTCTCCCTCTCTTCCCTACCTCTTCTCCACACATCTCAACTCGTCTGACAGGTGCATCACTCGGTCTTCTATGCACATGACCAAACCACCGTAGGCGTGACTCCCACATCTTATCTTCGCCATATATCTGAGTATACCCTTTTGCCATAAGGCGTGCTTTAAAACGATCAATCTCCCCATCAGACCCAACTTTAACCGTGTAAATCCACCGACATCCCACCACTGATTTGCCAGTGGGAAGGGGGACTAAGTCACATGTCCCACTAGAATGAAGAGCCTCCATCTCAGTCAACATGGCTTTACGCCACTCCGGGTGTGCCAGTGCCTCATGTGTGGTTTTAGGAATGCATATATGAGACAAGTGGGAAATAAAGGCATAGTAAGGGGTAGAGAGGCGGTGATAACTCAAAAAGTTATATATGGGATGTGGGTTCAATGTGGAACGCGTACCTTTTCGGAGAGCAATTGGCAAATTATCCTGAGTGGTGTCAAGTGCTGGAGTAGGTGATGGTGGTGATGCAGGATCCGTCATAGGGGAATCAACGGGCGTGGCCACGATGGGCTCAATGGGAGGAGGTCGAGGACGTTGATGGTATACCTGTAATGGACGGTCTGACATAGGAGGGCAGTTTGGGTACTCATCAGATGGGGGGTTAATGGGAGTCTCCTGATGGATGGGCTGAAGATATGAGGTGAAGTCCAAACATGATGGGGTATTAACTGAAGATAATGGATAATAAAAGGACGACTCAATGAAAGTGACATCGGCTGAAATAAAATGTTTCTTAAGTGATGGAGAATAACAACGATACCCCTTTTGGAGTCGCGAATATCCAAGAAAGATACATTTTATTGACCTAGCCGCCATTTTAGTTAATCCAGGTGTCGTATCATGGACAAAACACACGCACCCAAACACATGAGGTGGTAATGGAAATAAATCACAAGCAGGAAACAAAGTAGAATAAGGAATTTCATTATTAAGAACTGAGGAAGGCATTCTATTTATTAAATGACACGCAGTGAGCACAACATCTGCCCAATACTGAGGTGGTGTATGGGAATGTAATAATAGGGTACGAGCAGTATCAACCAAGTGTCGGTTCTTGCGTTCAGCAACCCCATTTTGTTGAGGCGTGTGAACATAAGAAGATTGATGAAGCATACCCCGTGATGTCATGAATTGATTAAATGATGCCTCAAAAAATTCTTTAGCATTGTCACTGCGTAAAATTTTGATAGAATGACCAAACTGAGTTTGAATTTCAGCACAAAAAGTTTGAAGAATATGAAACAATTCAAAACGCTCTTTCATTAAAAACAACCATGTGTCACGGGAAAAATCATCCACAAAAATAACAAAATAACGGAAACCTAAAGTAGAAGTGACTCGATACGGACCCAATACAGATATGTATGAACTAAATCAAACGGTGATGTAGCCCGGTTATTGACTCGCCTTGGAAAGGATTTACGAGGTTGTTTTCCAAGGTGACATGACTCACAATCTAA